TACAAACCGTCGTCTATTATATGTAACGATAACGCTTTTTATAAAAACCGTCGTCTATTATATGTAAAGATGACGCTTTTTATAAATAAAAAAATTGTCGTCTATTATATATAAAGATGACGATTTTTATAAAACCCGTCGTCTATTATATGTAAAGATAACACTTTTATAAACACCGTCATCTATTATGAAGTAAAGATGACGGTTTTTTTTTAAAATAGTCGTCTATTATATATAAAGATGACGCTTTTTATAAAAAGGGTCGTCTATTATATGTAAAAATGACGCTTTTTATAAAAAAAAGGTCGTCTATTATATGTAAAGATGATGGTTTGTTAAAATAACCGTTAAATCATGATTTTTCATTTATAACCGTCGAAATTTTTTGTCCCGTTACTTGATCTCTGAATGTTTATTTTTTCCGATTTTTGGTGTATATGATCTTGAAGTATAAACAAACAAGTTTGACGGTTGGATCGTTGAAACTAGTTTCTTAGAATGTGTATGCCATCAAAACAATATATTCACTAACAATTAAGAGTTTATTTATACTTTCGTTAAATATAACATAAGATTTTGTGGTATCCACTATTGTAAATATTTTAAATTGAAGATCAAATTCAGTCATTGTATTCATATAGGGTCAAGGAGTGTAGGGGTAAAAAATCATCAAAATCGGAGTTAAAATAACCGTTAAATCATGATTTTTCATTTATAACCGTCGAAATTTTTTGTCCCGTTACTTGATCTCTGAATGTTTATTTTTTTCGATTTTTGGCGTATATGATCTCAAAGTATAAACAAACAAGTTTGACGGTTGGATCGTTGAAACTAGTTTCTTAAAATGCATATGCCATCAAAACAATATATTCACTAACAATTAAGAGTTTATTTATACTTTTGTTAAATATAACATAAGATTTTGTGGTATCCACTAGTGTCGTCTATTATATGTAAAGATGATGGTTTGTTTAAAAAAGGGTCGTCTATTATGAAGTAAAGATGACGTTTTTTATAAAAAAAAACGGTCATCTATTATATGTAAAGATGACGCTTTTTATAAAACCGTCGTCTATTATATGTAATGATGACGGTTTTTATAAAACAACCGTCGTCTATTATATGTAAAGATGACTTTTTTTTTAAAAAGCGTCGTCTTTTAAAACACGCTAAAAAATGGCCGCTTAAGTGAATTCGCGCTCGACAAATTTTCAAATTTTCACCCGTCTTTGAAAACCTTATCTCTCATTAACAAGCTTCGTCTTTTAAAACACGCTAAAAAAAGGCTACTTAAGTGAATTCGCGCTCAACAAATTTTCAGATTTTCCCCCGTCTCTGAAAACCTTATCTCTCCCTCCTTGAAACCCTTCTGCACTCTCTAAAACACCCTCATGAAACTCTCTACAAAATCATCAAAAAATCGATATCAATGAAGGAGTTGAGAGATTGAGGTCTTCGCAGATCCATAAGATGTAGAGGGATGTTTTGTATTTGAGAATCAAAGCTGGTTGAAAGGTTTGATTTGAAAGTCACCTAATCTCTTAATACCCTTTTATATCTTGCTAGTGAATTATGGATTAGTCTCTTTGCGTTTCTGGTATGTTCTTTGTCTCCCTAATTTCAGATTTTGTCTCTCTTGATTTGTCTGGTTTGTTTACATATTTTTTTATATTTCTAGTTTCTTTTTAGATTTTCTGATTTGGTTATCAGGAGATGAGGAGGAAGCTTGCAGATTTATAACTTTTTCTTTTGCAGGTTTTCTATGTGAGTTGTATGTTTTTTTGTTGTTGAAAATTTGCAGGTTCTCGATGGTCTTTTTTATGCTCATTTTACAAGTTTTCAATGGAAATATGGACCAATGGTAAAATTTCTCTTCCACCTAATTTTTTATGTTTATAATCTTAGCTTTTTTTTTCTCTCTTTGTCATTTTGATTTATTTACAGGGATGATGGAGGAGACTTCAGTTGTGCATCATTTGTATGTTTGGATGAGGAATGCTTGGATTAGGAGTACGTAGGTCTTGTTAGGAATTATGTTTGTTGTAGAATAAAGATTGGTTAACTATGTAATAACTATTGAATCTTCAAGTTTTATTAAAGAAACTATTTTTGAGCGTATATATTTATTAATAAAGCATTATGGTTGGTTTTCTAGTTAAAATTGTTGTATAGCATCATAGGAAATCAAAAAGAACTAAAATGTAGCAGTTTGGAAACTTATTAGACGACGGTTTTTATAATAAATCATGGTCTTTACATATAATTAATGAAGGTTTTTATAAAAAAAGGGTCGTTTATTATAGGTAAAGATGACGATTTTATAAAAAGGGTCGTCTATTATATGTAAAGATGACGCTTTTTATAAAAAAAACCGTCGTCTATTATATGTAAATATGACGATTTTTATACAAACTGTCGTCTATTATATGTAAAGATGACGCTTTTTATAAAAATCGTCGTCTATTATATGTAAAGATGACGCTTTTTATAAAAAAAACCGTCATTCTATGTAAAGATGACTATTTTTATACAAATCGTCGTTTATTATATGTAAAGATGACGCTTTTTATAAAAACCATCGTCTATTATGAAGTAAAGATGACGGTTTTTTTAAAAAAGGATCGTCTATTATATGTAAACATGACGGTTTTTTTTTAAAAGGGTCGTCTATTGTTAAGTAAAGATGACCTTTTTTAAAAAGGTCGTCTATTGAATGTAAAGATGACGGTTTTTACAAAACAACCATCGTCTTTATAAACAATCCATGACGGTTTTCTTAAAAAATCATCGTCTTTACATACAATACACGACGGTTTTATTAAAAACAGTCGTCTTTTCTCCTATAATTAACGATCTTTACCTCTAAACAACGACGATTTTCTTTAAAAACCGTTGTCGTTACAAATAAACAACGACGGTGAAAAGCCGTCATAGTTTGACACCCAAATAGATGTCGGTCGATTTCACGACGGTTTGAAAACCGAATACACGACGGTGAATTCCCATCGTCTTTTGCCTTTTTTGTAGTAGTGCCTTAAAGTGATCTTCTAATCACTAAGGGATTGCTAGGACTCCAAGTTAATCAAGAACTCAAAGACTTACTCAACTAGCAGCTTTGGATAATATGTTAAACAGAAATCTAAAGCCTTTGGGATTCCTAATTCTATTAGGATTGAGACTCCAATATCTACTGCATTAAGGACATCTCTTAGAGTTCCTTGATGGGCAAAACTCTAAGAGATATATGCATATAAATAGAGAGCTCCCTCCAGAACCAATATACACGTTCTAGCTATAAGATATTCACCCCATCAGAATAAGCATACAATGTTGGTTTGTTGGAGAAGATCTTTCTAATTCCTACGACTATTCTGGACAATGGCAGCTGAGAATAGGCCTCATCATTTGGCTCGCGGGCTCATGGGCATATGGGGGCCCACCCAACCCATAAAAAAAAAGCCCGACCCGGCCCGTTATGGGCTTTGAGATGTCCCAGCCCGCCTTGGGCCAGGCTAGGCTTGGTCTTGAGTGTCTGAAGCCCGGCCCGATTAAGCCCAAGAAAGCCCGGCCCTGCCCGCCAACAGAAGCCCGGCCCGTTAGGCCCGCATACATATATAATTATGTATAAATAAGAGTTTAGGTTTAGGATTTTATCACTTAAATCATATATATAATTTGTTTCATTTCATTTACTTTTCTTTACTCATTCCTAGTTTATAATTGGATGATTAGCGCATTAATTTGTGTCAATTATTAATTCAACAATTTTATATATATATATATATATATATATATATAAGATGAACAACATATTACATCACCAAATATAATCATATCACGAAACATAATCGTACCACCAAATATAATCATACTTTTCTTGAACACATCACCAAATATTTGCATATTTATTCATACCATCCTTTTAAAAAAATATTTATTTGATACTTATTATTTTTTAAAATTATTTCTTAAAACGTAAAAATAATACTTGGTTTTATTATTTTTGTGGAAAATCTTATTAAGTTGTGTGACTTTATTGGGTGTTTTATGAATTCGGTTTGATGTGAAAATATTGGAATTAAGTGAGTTTAATCTCATATTTGGACTAAAATGCCCTTATGATTAAGTTTATGATTTTTTTTAATGAAGTATGCCCGTTTAGGCCAGGCCGGTTGGGTTTAGCCCGGCTCATGGGTCGGGCTTGGGCTTTGAATTTTCTAAAAAATCTGGCCCGGCCCGGCCTGGCCCGACCTAAGCCCATTGAATTTGGGTCGAGCTAGCCTGGCCCAGCCCATTGACGAGCCCTAGCTGAGAATCAAGGTTAGTATATTTGATTTTATAGCTTATTAAGAACTTACATCTGGTATCAGAGCCAGGTTATATTATCTCTTATCTAACCAATTTTCAAGACTCAAGAATCAAGAAAATCAAGTTCTACAAACTGTCAACTTTCAAAACAGTTTTCAGAAAAGCTTGGCACGATAACAGTATAAAGATTATCACTTTGTCATGACAAGAGAAAGCATTGATCGTTGAATGCATATCTCTTACAGTATATTGAGTAACCCAAAGCAAACTTAATGAACTGCAAGATCTATACATTGTAAAGTTCACGATCAAGATTGTGCTGCAAGAAATTACATGGAGGAGTAGCTCTCTGTCCAAAGATGTGAGTAAATCTTCATGTAATTACTTGTGGCAGAACAACATGGGATATGAAGCATACAAACTAGTATGAAATTTTTCTTATCCAAAGATAAGGAAGGTTTTGTTCAAAAGAAGTTTGTATTTTTCATACCTCAGTGGTTGACAAATATGAACGAATCTCTACCTAAAGGTGAGGATCAAACATATTTAATTTAAAGTTTTGGGGCTAAAGTTTTAAGTATACATGTTTATATGTTTTCAGTAACCACAACTCGATTGATACTCTCATTTGCTCAAACTATAAGAAATGGAAAGAGGACTTGGAAATTGCTTTAGGATTGCTTGACTATGAAATGGCTTTGGAAGAAGATGCTCCTGCTGTACCTGCTGCTAATGCATCTGCAGAAGTTAAGACTAAGTATGCCAAATGGGTCAAGACAAATAAGATGGCTATCCTGATAATGAAGAGGTCGATTTCTCCATTTGTTAAATGGAGCATAACAACATTTTGAAAACGCAAAACAGTTTCTTAAGTCCATTGGGGAGTTTTTCTAGGAATCAAAAAAGGCTGAGATAGGTACATTGATGGGGCAACTCACTGATTTCAAATACAATGGAGAGGGCTGTGTTAGGACTCAAATACTCAATATGCTGGAGATTGGGAACAAATTGAAAGCGCTCAGTGTCAATGTAGACGAGACAATGATGGTACACTTTGCTATTAATTCTTTGCCAAATGTTTTTAGGCATCTCAAAAGCACATATGTGGATCAAAAGGAAATCTGGACAATAACAGACCTCATAAGCATCTGTGTGCAGGAAGAGCAAAATATAAGGAAGGAAAAAGCTGAGGAACATGTCAACTTTGTACATAAAGCCAAACCAAAAGCCAAGGAGATTGTTAAGAACAAAACTGCAGGGAAGAAAAATAAGAAGGAAGAAGATTCAAAAGGACTGAATCCAGTAGGCCTCAAGTGTTTCTTCTGCAAAAAATTTGGACATATGAAGAGAGACTGCAGAAGGTATAAACGTTGCTTGAAAAAACAGAAGGGAAAAGGTAAGAAGAATTTTGTTTCAGTGGTTTATGAATCTAATATAGTTGAAGTTTTATCTGATTCATGGTGGTTAGACAGTGGTGCAAAGGTTCATGTGGCTAATTCTTTGCAGGGGTTCAAAAGCAAGAGGGTGCCAAGCAGGGATGACTTGAAGGTGTTTGTGGGAAATGGAGAAAGAGTCAAAGTAGAATTTATTGGTTTAGCTAGTCTTGTTTTGGATTCTAGTTTTGTTTTGGATTTAGTAGATGTAGTTTATGTTCCTACTATGACAAGGAACCTTTTATCAGTTAGTAAGCTTGTTCAATCAAACTTAAAGTTCGAGTTTGATAAGTTTGGATTCTCTATTTTCAGAAATAAAAGTTTTGTTGGCAATGGCTTTATTGTTGATGGAATGTATCATCTAAACTGCAATTCTCCAAATCAAAGCACTGTAAGATTAAATGTGATAAGCACAAAACAGTTATAAACAGAAGAATCATATACACTTTGGCATAGAAGACTTGGACATATCTCAAAAGAAAGGATGAACCTCTTAAGCAAAGAATCTATGCTGCCACCACTTAATCACAATGATAAAGATAAAGTCTGTATTGAATGTGCAAAAGGAAAAATGACAAACTTGCGGAAGAAAGGAGCAATAAGGAGTGAAAAATTGCTAGAGATTATACATACAAATATCTGTGGACCTTTTCCAATCGATACACATGATGGTTATAAATATTTTATAACTTTCACAGATGATTTCTCAAGGTATGGATATGTGTATTTGATAACAGAAAAATCAAAAGCCTTAGACATGGTTAAAGTTTACAAAGCTGAAGTGGAAAAGCAATTAGATTCAAAAATAAAGGTAGTAAGGTGTGACAGAGGTGGAGAATTCTATGGGAAATTCACTGAGAAAGGTAGAAGTCTAGGACCTTTTGCCATTTTCTTGCAACAAGAAGGGATTGTGGCTTAGTACACGAATCCTGGAACACCACAGCAAAACGGTGTTTCAGAGAGAAGAAATAGAACTTTGATAGAGATGGTGAGAAGCATGATGTGTTGCACAGCACTACCAAATTTCTTATGGGGAGAAGCTTTGAAGACAACAAATTATTTGCTTAATAGAACACCTACTAAAAGTGTCGACAAAACTCCCTATGAAATTTGGTGTAATAGAAAACCAAGTTTAATCACTTGAGAACTTGGGGATGTAGAGCAAAACTACAGATTTTATTGTCCAAAGCACAATACAAGGTTTGTAGAGACACAAAGGGAAATCTTCATTGAGGAGGAGAATACAGAAAATGAAAGTGTCAAATTTGAGTTTGATGAAATAATAGAGCAGCAAGAACTTACAGTAAAGGAAAAACAAGGAATAGAGACTACAATAATTCCATTTGTTAACAAAGCAGTCACACCAATTCATGAAGATAACCACCATGATCAGAAAATAAATGCAGAAGCCGAGATACAAATAGCACAACCTCATAACCAAGAACTAAGAAGGTCTCAAAGACCTAGAAGGCCAGCTTTATCAAATGACTATCACGTTTATTTACAAGAAGCTGAACAAGATATCAACAACTTGGAGGATCCTATGACTTTCAAACAAGCTGTAGAAAGTGACATATGTGAATTTTGGATGGCAGCTATGGAATCTGAACTCGATTCAATGAGCATGAATGGAGTTTGGAAACTTGTCAAATTGGCACAGAGTTGTAAACCTATAGGTTGCAAGTGGGTTTACAAAACAAAGAAAAATCCACAAGGGAAAATGAATAGATACAAGGCCAGACTAGTGGCAAAAGGCTACACTCAATAGGAAGGGGTAGACTACAATGAAATGTTTTCTCCAGTTTCTACCAAGGATTCATTTAGGGTGATAATGGCTTTGGTAGTACACTTTGATCTACACCGCCATCAAATGGATGTTAAGACTGCTTCTTTAAATGGGAACTTGGATGAGGAGATATACATGAAGCAACCAGATGGTTTTGTTTTAAAAGGGCACTACTACAATTTATTATTTGCGCGACGATATTTTGCGCGACAAAGACACAATCGTTGCGCTAGAAACACTTGTGCGACGGAAAAGTCTATTCGTCGCGCAAACTGTGAAAAACTTGTGCGACAAAAATTTTTCATCGCACAACAAAACTTCGCGTGACACAAAACCTCGTCGTCGCGCAAAGGGAGAAGAAAAACGCGAGAACCTTTTTTTGGCCCCAAATCCATGCACGACGATAGATATCGACGCAAAAAGACCTTAGCGCGACGAATAATATTTTCATCGCGTAAAGTTAGATAAAAACTGCCAATTATGTTATTTGACGACAAACACTTGCGCGACGACAACTCTTGTCGCAAAAGAACACTTCGTGCGACGACAAACTTGATCGTCACACAAGAAATTGCGCCCAAACCTTGCGCGACGGAAGCTGATGTTGTCGCATAAAGTTTGATGTTGGCCCATTCATACGCGACGAAAATTGTCTTTTGTACGATGAAGGTTTGAGCGACGAAAATTTTTTTGCGTCGTGCAAACGTTGGATATCGACAGGAGCTTGCGGGACGAAAAATGTATTTTGGGCGACGAAATGGAACACTTGTGCGACGAGATTGAGGTTTTGCACGATGAAAAATGTTGTTTGCGCGACGAAATATGGCTTCGTCGCGCAAAACCCTTCTTCATATTATCTGGATTCTGCCATTGCAGAGGCAGACTTCAAAAAGAAAAAAGGTCTGCCTCTGCATCTGCTTCAGCTTCAGCTTATGCTGGGAATTGACTACGTTCATTGGGTAAGTATTTTTAGTCGTTAGTTTAAAAGTATTAATGTAAATTCATACTAACACTATTAATTTCGTTGTCTTTAGGGATATTGTAATTAGCGATTGGTGGAAAACGGTTGAGAGAAGTTATTTGATTCGTTTTATATTTTTTTTGTGAAATTATATTTATATTATGTTGTTAACTTGTCCGTTACGTAGCATAATGTGTTATGATGTACGAAGTTAATTTCAATTAACTTCATACTTTGTTTTTTATTGTATTAGTTGGATTTCGTGCATGGATGCGTAAAGCATGACCGCAGTCCCATTAATTCTTGAATTGTCCCATTATTTGGACAGCTTGGGAATGCATAGTTATGTCACGTAATGTATGGCTACAGGATTAGGTTTCGATTGTGGAGATATCGGTGTCATCTCTATACGTTCTTCGGGTGGTATGTAAGTATTTTATACCTACGGTACACCTCAAGAACTATATCGAGATGCTGTCGAAATTCAGCCACGTCAAAATCTAATCATGTGGCCGTAAATTACGTGACATGACTATGCATTCCCGAATGGGATAGGGCCCATATCGGAGGCATAAGGTGACATTATAACTTCGTATGAAGTTGTTGTGATTGTGGTTCTAGGAATTATGAGCAGGAGGTGGATAAAGAACTCGAATTGATGCTCGGACGAATACTTGGATGGAATCGAGGATTTTATTGAGTTTGCACGTAGACACAACCCGAGTCCAACTAGAATCCGTTGTCCTTGTAGGAGGTGTAACAACACGTTGTGAGAGACAATTGAAAATGTTAGATTTCATTTAGTAAGGAATGGAATGATTGAGACATATAGCATTTGGAACCTTCACGGGGAACAATTAGACAATGCTTCGTCTTCAAATTCCACAAGAGTGGACAATGTTGAACCTATTGTGGATCCTAATGAACAAGTCATGGATATTATAAACGATACTTTTCCATTTGCATCGACCAACATCAATTAGGAAGGGAAAGATGACGTTCCTACACCAATGGACAGTGCAGAGTTCGAACAATATGAAAAACTGTTAAAAAATGCCAACCAAGAGTTATACTCGGGGTGCGAGAGCTTTTCCGTTCTCACGACCATTGTGGAGCTAATGCACTGAAAAATAAACTATCGTATGTCGAACCTGTGTTTCGATTACTTTTTGGGGGTTTTTAAGAGAATGCTTCCGACGGACAATTGTTTGCCAAAAGACCATAAATACACGTAGAAGGTGTTGAGTGGTCTTGGATTGGGTTATGCAAAAATTCACAGTTGCAAAAATAATTTCATGTTATTCTACAAAGAGTGAAACATTGGATACATGCCTTATATGCAATGAGTCGAGGTTCAAAATGACATCTCAGAATAGAATGACTAAGATCCCACAAAAAGTCATGCATTATCTGCCCCTGAAACCTAGGCTGCAACGATTGTATATGTCGATGCATATTGCCACATACATAAGATGGCATAAGGAAAAACAGGTAGACGATGATGTGATGCGACATCCTGCAAATGGGGAAGCATGGAAAGAGTTCGATTGAACGTTCCCCGAGTTTGCTACTGATCCCCGAAATGTTAGATTGGGACTTGCATGGAAATGCATGAAAAAAGAGTACATGATGATGACTGTTTTGATAACTGAGGATCCTGGCACGTCAATCGATGTTTACTTAAGGCCGTTGGTTGATGAGCTCAAAGATTTATGGACAAACGGTGTGCGCACGTACGATAAATCCACTAGGAAGATGTTCACTTTGCAGGCAGCAGTTATGTGGACTGTGAATTATTTTTCCACATATGCAATGGTTTCTGGATGGAGCACAAAGGGTTATATGGCATGCCCCTATATGCAAGGAAGATGTAACTTCTGGTTGGCATGCCTGAAAGTTTGTTATCTTGGTCATCGGAGATGGTTGCCATGGGACCACGAGTGGCGGGAAAAGGATAAAGAGTTCGACGGGAAAACAGAGCGTCGCGTCAGACCTAGAGAATGGTCCGGTGATGAGATCTTGGAACAGCTTAACTGTTTGGATTTTGCTCCGTTCGGGAAAACAGTTAGTCAGACCAGACCTTTTACACATTTGAACTGGACGCACAAGTCTATGTTCTTTGAGCTCCCATATTGGTCGAAACTAAAATTGAAGCACAATCTCGACGTTATGCATGTTGAGAAAAATGTGTTTGACACATTGATGGGTACGATTCTAGACATTGAGGGCAAGACAAAGGACATGATCAAAGCTCGTCTTGATTTGGAAAGAATGGTCATACGAAGAGGTTTATGGATGAACAGGGACAATGATAAAGCTAGAAGGGATTCTTTTTTTTTTTTTTTTTTCTATGAAACCGAATGACAAAAAAGATTTTCTAAAGTTTGTATCGTCTGTAAAGTTTCCCGATAGGTATGCTTCTAATATCGCGCGTTGTCTGAATGTTGATGGGGGTAAATTTGCTGGACTAAAAAGCCATGACTGCCATGTGTTTATGCAATGCCTACTTCCTGTGGGTATTCGACACCTTTTGCCGAAAGATGTAGTGAAACCAATCATGTGGTTGAACATATTTTTTTTCCCAACTGATAGCAAAAACATTGCGAAAGATAGACATTAATTAGTTGCGCCATCACATTGTCCAAGTCCTATGCAAGTTTGAGATGATATTCCCTCCATCTTTCTTCACAAGTATGATCCAAGTGATGGTTCATTTGCCAGAAGAGGCATTGTTTGCTGGTCCTGTCAACTATCTTTGGATGTATCCAATAGAAAGGTATATAATCCTCATCATTTGTTTATGCATCCTTATCCCACGCTTGCTAATTTGTATTGCATTGTTTTATTTTCACAGGCTACTCGGAGAGCTAAAAAAAACTGTATGCAACAAGACGAAGCCTAAAGGATCAATTATAGAGGCTTGGGTTCAATATGAGTTGCTTACTTTCTGTGGAATGTATTTACAAGATGTGGACACGGCTTTCAATCATCCTCGGCGCAATAATGACGGAGGTGTGAGAAATGAGAAACTTTCTGTTTTTGCCCAAAGGGCACGACCCTTTGGAGATCCTATACGAGGAGAGTCGTTTTCCAGAAATGACATGGAGGTAGTGCATTGGTTCGTACTAAACACTTGTGATGAGATAATGACATACTTAGATGAGCATGAAGAGATGATGAAGCGAGAACATCAATCACATTTGTATGTCACGAAACACAGTGAATTGTTTCCACAATGGTTTTTGGAAACTGTAAGTTAAAAGTGTTTTGTATTTGACATATATATTGTATTATTTAATGTTCTCAAACTAACATGTCAATGTTTTTGTATAATATTATGTCAATAAGTTGAAATCATCGAATTCCCCCACTTACAGTGAAGAGTTATATAACTTGGCGTTCGGCCCGATTTGGGCTGAATTGTTCTCGGGTTGCCATGTTAACGGCATCAAGTTTTTGGGGACTGCAGGAGATGACAAGTTGTGTATGCAAAACAACGGTGTCCATGTCCCAGGTGGAGGCAAAAGTACGGACATTGATTTCTATGGCAAACTCACAAAGGTCGTGCAATTGCTTTACAAAGACCGATACCAAGTGATCATGTTTAAGTGTCGATGGTTTGATACAAACCCAAATAGGTAGGGAAGTGTTAAAATCGACCATGGCTTACTATCAGTGAACATTAACAGAACTTGGTATGATGACGACCCTTACATTTTGGCAAACATGGCAAAACAGATTGTGTATCTAGATGACCCTAAAGCCGGGAGCGGTTGGAAAGTTATTCAACAGATGGATCAGAGGAACGTGTATGCTATACTAGAACTAGACCCAACTGACAACGACGTCGACAACGTCGCTGACCAAAGTTTGGAATCTTCCATGGAAAATGATGCAGAAACACTTCGAGATACAAATGTTAAACAAGAACCGTTTCAGCTTCAAGGAGTGTCTTCAATCGAAATACCGATTCAGTCAATTACAATTGACCTCGATGACCTTCCGCGATATGATGTTCCAGTGGGCCCGAACTACGAAAGTGATGAGGAGGAGGATTGGGAGACCGAAAGTGATGATAGCGACGATAACGAAGGTTATTATAGTTCAGATGATGAATAATGCAATTTATTAGTGACTACCCATGTAAAACATAGTAAATTAAATTTTCTTCATTTTAATTATGGTAGTGTAAAGATGGCAATCACAAATTAAAATCAAGTTGCACACAAAATTGGCAATCACAAATTAAAATAAGTCATATAATATATAGATTGAAATGTAGATATATACCTAAATTTGAAAACACATTTGAATCTGACTATTTGATTTTAAGTGGTATTTATGAATATAAGAATCAGGGTTTTCTCTTTTTGGAGTTGAAAATATTGAAATTGAAAGAATACAAAAAATTGGAACATTCATGAAAAAATTGAAAAAATAAAATCAAGAATCCATCCATCATGGCCTTGTTCCACGCTTGGCTACAGCCCATGTGATTTTTTCCTCCTCTTTCTGAAGAGGTTAAACTTTGTCATTGCAAGTCATAAAGTTAATTAAAAAGTTTTTTTTTTGTAATAGGAGAAAGTTCATTATTCTGTTATTACATAAAGAAACACCCCCCCCCCTCCCTTTATGTTGTTAAAAATATGCCTATATGAAGAGAAACCCTAGTTTAGCTTTTCTGTTTCAGGCCTTTTGGCCTCATGCGAGCCACATAAAAAAAAGTTATATATATTTTGTTTCATGAAGAATTAAATGTGTTCGTGCCTAATAAATCACGGTCATAAGCTGATTGAGGGGACTTCCTTTCGGCCCTGGCGCCTACAGTTTCGTCAAGCATTTCGCCTTCCTGGAACAAGAGGTAAACTGCAAAGGCAGAATCCTCTCGGCCTCGCGACCGCAATGTTGAGGGCCGAAGCCGAAGGTCGTAGAAGACACGGCTGAAGAAGCTGTGGTTAAATCGCCACGTGGCCTTAGGGCCCCACGCTCCATTTAATGAAGTAATGCCTCTGACTTCGCAGCAAACCCACTAGTCGCAAGAAGCATTTAATGCACATGGGAAGTGACTGAAGTCAGGATTTGGTGATGGAAATCAGGGTGGTTAGGCGCAGACATTCTCACAAGTAATCTCGTGACTTAAGGTCAGATCACCAACCACCAGACCAGGGCATTGAATGTGTTCCCACAGCCAAGGGGGCATAACCCACGATCAGGGCGGTGGCCGAGATTTACCGAGATTTATGGGGGTCACACCACCATGCTTCTCAACCCCAAGCCACCATACTTCACGATCCCAAATGCCGATTTGACTACCCACTTGCCCCGGTCAGGCTCCGCCACGTAGGTTTTGTCAGCCTTGATTATCCCTCCAGGACTCCTCCTATAAATACCAGGCCCAGGACTACATTCAAAGGGTTCAAACACCAAACCAAAAGCCTCCCACGGACAAATTATATTTTTCTGTAATGCACTTTCAATACCTTTATTCGCTTTCCTAGGAGTAGTGGTAGATTGTAAGGAAAATCCATTCATCAATATATCATACGACCCTTGATTTTCAAGGCGCCGAAGCACCATCTCTGTTATCGTCTCACTCACCCCATATATCATACGACCGTCACTCTCTGAGCAACGCGCCGGAGCACCGCCTAAAACCCGCCACCAACACCACCATTAAACGGCCTTGTAGCTCAGGCCGTGAACCTGACGGCTGAGATCAGTTCCTCTCTAGGCCACAATCGTTTGATTAGGAGTCGAACGCAAAACAGGCGCAACATTTAAACCATCTTCTACCCGAGCCTCATCATCATCTCGACGCATGGTAGACTATGCTGGCACACCCGCGCACAACTGCACCGCATCCAAAAGAAGGACGTCACGTGTTGATGCACATCCCCTCGGCCCGGAGCACCAGGCCGTGAGATTCGCAACAACCAACAAAATGTTTATATGAAAATAGAGAAAACAAGAGTTAAATTTTGGAGTTTAAATGTTTATTGTATCGTTGAAGATTATCAAATAAAATTTCTTTTTGATTTAAAAACAAAACCCCAAGAGTTAAACTTTGAGGATATATATGTAGGACAAATGTTCTATCATAAAAGTTGCAAACCCTCGCAATGATAAAAATAGGCGAAAAAGTATATTGAAATTCAAATTTTAATTTAGCTACAAATTCCCTTCCAATGAATGATGAACAACTATTTAATTTCTATTTTGTTGAATCAGATTATGAGTTTATATTTTTGAAGAAATAGATTTTATTTTTTTATTTTTTTTAATTAACAGCAGAGTAGGCTTGAAAAAATAAAAACAATACCAATGTTCCTCACAAAATATCAATGTTCCCCCCCATATATGGTGCTCTAATTTTCGCTTTAGAGTTGAAGTTTTGATAATAGTTGCAATGAAGGACTTTTTTCGTCGCGCAACACATCTTCGTGCAACGAAGAAACTCTGGTGCATCGCGCAAGAATCAATAATTATGACGTGAAAATATATCCTTGATCGACAAAGGACTGTTTTCGTCTTGCAACAATGCAAGAATCGATAATTATGACGTGAAATTATAACATTGCGCGACGAACGAATTTTTTCGTCGCGCAACGAAGGGAATCTAGTGTGTCGCGCAAGATAAGATTATTATCATGTGCAAATATAACCTTGCACGACGATAAATATCCGCCGTTGCGCAACATATATATGCGCTACGAATGTAGGCTTATTCGTCGCGCATACCATATTTATAAATCACAAAAACTCATGAGTATTATGAGGAGTTTTTCATTTAAAGAACAAATATTATGAAATTATATTATTAGGACCCTACAAGTGTGTCATTGGGTTAATTTACGTGTTAAAATATTACATTGCGATATAAATAAATACACATATTATAACGTGAGTAAATTAACTATTTAGCTTTAGTAAATTTGACATAGTCAATGTCTAAAAAAGTAATCAAGTTGCTCGACGTAGTGTAAAAATTAAAATTTCATAAATAAAGTGTTGAGTTGATTTGTGATTTAACCCACAATTCATCCACATTAGGCTTAGGTCCGAATATAATACAGTGTTGAGTCAAAAGATTCGACTATATTTAAAAAGCTGTACTCAATTAACTACAGTGTCGAGTCAAAATATTATTTTCATATAATTGTCTACATAAAGGTGTACTCAATTAACTCGGATTAAGTCCGGTTACGTTGTGCATTGAGATCAAAATCGTAATCGTAAAATGCTAGGTCAAGTTACATGAGTATCCAAGTGTAATCTAGTCACAAGTGCCCTAGAGTAGGCTTATGGTTAGGGTTCGAGACTTGAGAATGGTGTTGGAACAAGTTTAGAAGTTAGAGTTTTTAATTCGAGACTTGGATTTTGGGTTTTGGAGGCTAAAATCAATTGTTGGAATACTAAAATAGTTTTTACAATATTTTTGCCGACTTCAAACAAGTTTCCAGGATTTTTAAATAATAGAAGCTATTTTAAAAATACTTTTGAAAATTAAAAAAACGTTTTCAAGTCCATAAAAGAATTAAATACTATTTATTCAGTCATTTCATAAATAAATTAAAATATTTAAATACTAATTCTTCACTAAATAAATAATACTAAATACTAAATACTAATTAAAGTAATTAAATAAGGCTAATATATATTAGTTTTACGAGAGGATTGCGCGATGTAAATGGGTTTCTACGTCACGCAAGTTGTCCAAATTTTCACGTTAGGGTTTAGGGTTTAAGGTTTAGGTATGAGGTTCTGATAATCTTGCACGACGATAGTTTCTTGTCGTCGCGCAGAACAAATTTGCGCTACACAATGCAGCTCGTACGTCGTGCAGGTGTCGTTAATTTTGAGGGTGAAAATATTACCTTGCTCGATGCCAGGTTTCTACTGTCGCACAACAGTTCATTGTGCGACGTATACTTCTTTTCGTCCGTAGGTTACAATAATTTACAGTGCCTTGTGCGACAACACTGGCTGGGCATCGTGCAAGATCTCGAAAATGTTGGCGGCCCATTGTTAAAAAAACGCGCTTTTTTTTTTTCGTTACCTACCCTTCAGATCCTCGAACCCTCTCAGGTCCCTCCTTCGAACCCTCTCACCCTCATAGACTTCGAACCCCTTTGAACCCTCTCACCCTCTCAGACTTTGAACCCTCTCAGTTCCCTCCTTCGAACCTTTGAACCCTCTCACACCCTCGCTCTCTCATTCAAACCCTCTCAGACCCTCTAAGCTCTTTCATTCAAACCCTCTCAGACCCTATCTCCTTCGATCCCTCTCTTGGGTTTATTCCACCTTTCGTCCGCCACCGTTGGAGACTAGAAGCCCCGCCTTCGAGCTTGGCGCCTGCGTCAGCAGTCTCATTCTCTCTGTGTCTCCCTCAAAACCCCCTCTGGTAAAATTCCTAAATCTAGCCTCCGGTCACATTTTTCAATTCTGGACATTTAGACTGATTTCGTTGGGATTTAGTTTGATGAGATTTTAATTTCTGAAATTAGTTTACTTAGTTGCCGTGTTAGCTCACAGATTTAGTTCAGTTAGTTCATAGATTTAGGTTTCTGCAATTTCAATGCGACTGTTTTCTGCGATTTTGATTTGTGTGTGCCTTTTTATTTGAAGTACCTGTTTCTTTTCTGATGCAGGAGCCAATAAGGCTAAGTTTTAGTTATATTAAAGTAATAGGTTATTTTATTACTTGATTTCCTATCCTGACTAGGATGTAGTTTAATTTCCTGTTCAGAGTTTAATTTCGTTTGTCAATTAGGGTTTCTTATTAAACTAGGAACAGGAATGCTTGGCTGGTGTATTAGTATAAATAGGCTATTTAGAGACTCTTGTATAGAGTTTTTGTTCATGAATATAATTTCAGACTTCTGTCTATAGAGTTTCTATTGGGATTTTGCCCTAGAACTCAATTATCTTCGTTCCAACTTCGATTCTACTGCTTTATTCTTCTATATCCAGGCAAAATGATAGGGCCCAGAAAGACGTGTGTTTGGTAGAGATGAAAATTTTCTTCGCGAGTAAGCGTTTTCGCGGGGATTTGATCCTAATGAGTTAGATATGAAGGACAAAAACTGGATATGCATAAGGGTACAGAGAATTTTTTGGGTATGATGTTCAAGAAGGGGCGGTGATGGTATTTTAAGCCCCAACCTGAACCCTCCCCATTTAGAATATATATATATATATATATACACTTCCATTGAGGGATCCCTCAAATATGTTTATTTGAGGGACACCCCTTGTAAGCCCAACTCTGGATTGTATTTCACTAATCCAAACCGTCTATTTTGTAAATACTTATTCAAAGATCATCTCTACAAAAAATTACTTGAATCCGATATCATTTGAGCACTCATTTGAGTTATTGAAATTTTAGTACTTTCTTAAAGCACCGTGTTCATTGATTTTGTAAGACACAATTAGATGTCGAAAAGGTTTTCGATTTGTATAATTTTTTGTAAGGATGATCTATAAATGAAGACCTAAAAAATAGATAGTTTGGATCATTGGGAAAAAAATTGTAGGGTACCCTAAAGGGCGTCCCTCAATAAAAGGGGACTGTATATATATATATATATAAGCTATTAAAGTGATTGTACCACAAATACAATGGGTCTTACGCTCTATTAGAGAGATGACACATAAGTTGGTATCTAAAGTTGGTCTCCCTAGCATTTTCCTTATATATTTATATAATTTATATAAATCTTAAGCCACAGTACTTATTTATTTAGTTAACTTCCAGTCTATATATAAACATTCTTATATTGTCTTATAAGTATATAATATATATATATATATTATCTTGCCTTAGTACCTTTTTTTTAATTTTTTTTTTAACGAAGTAGTTATATATTGGTTTTTTCTTCTATAATGGGGCGGTGGGGAACCCATTCTCCAACGAAGGTGGGGATGGGGAATCCTCGATATAAATATTGTGGATATGAAGGCAGGGATGAGGGAAAAAAGCTTAACGGTGATGGGGATGGGAATGGCATACCCACCCTCGATTCGACTCATTGTCATCCCTAGTGTTTGGCATGTGCGTAATTTTTTTCAGGCTTTTTTTTTATTATTATTATAAATGGTTAATAGTCCTTAACGTTAGAGCCTTGTATCATAAATTCTTTTGCCGTTAAAAAGTATGTTAAGTATGACGTGGAAGATAAGTAGAGCCTACATTGTAATAAAAAAACCTTTATTATTTTTTTTAACTTTAAACGGGCCCGTCACAAGTTGTTAGCCGACATGTTGTTTTTGTTTTTAGCCAGAGTTTGAAGGTTTTTTTTACCCCTTCATCTGAACTTAATAGTTACCCTTCCATCAAACAGCCAAGAATTAATTAATTAATTTTTTAAAATCCAACGGTCCAAAACGAAATGCAACGGACAAAATTTTTATTAATCTAACCTCAAAACTTATCCAAAAGTATATACCTACTTATTTGTTTTTAATTTTTGTGTTTGTCGTTTACTATTCATGATTTAAAGTTTTGTTTTAGAAATTTAAACTTTTTAAGGTTGAAATAAATTTAGAGTCCATTAATGAAAATAAAATCAACTCAAGAAAAATTAACCACAAAATCTTTTTTGAGTTAAATTATTTTGAAACAATTTAATATAGGCTGCGTATTCAAATTTGAAATTTGCATGGTTGGAAGACAAAACTATAGTAAATTGAGCTTAGACTCATAAAATTCATTTTAAATCACCAACAACCCTTTCCTTTAGTTTTCTATTTAAAATACCCAATTTTTTCAAATATTACCCAATGACTAGGATCCAACTAAGTACAACGACCTAGTCCTAAATAAATTTTTTTAATTATTAATTTATTTAGATAAAAGTTGACTTTTTGACCAGGAAGGAATTTGGGAATTTCTACTGTACCGTTGCTATCGCACGGCGAGATGAGTCCGTAGACAGATAGTGGGCTCAAATCGGAGTTGTAACGAAAAAGATACTATCAAAATACCCTCAGTGGCATAACCGTAATTTTTTGTGAAAAGGGTTTATAAAAATCAGAACACCTCTCATTCTCTCTCTCTCTCTCTCTCCCCTGTCGCGAAACCCCTCCCCCCTCCCCCCCCAACCCGCCGGCCGCCACCGACATGTCTGGCCACCATTTGGTCCGGGACCGGTCCCAAAATGACCGGCTAGTCTCCGCTGTCCTTCCCCACCCCTTCTCTAACGCTAGCAGCCAGTGACACTATCGGATTTTGCAGAAAACCAACCGATTTACTGAGAAAAATTCCAGCCGCTCGTTCTCCCTCCTCCGGCCACCGTTTCAGGCGAGTGAGGTATACTTTCTCACCTATATTTCATGATCTAGCTGATGGTTGGGTAGGCTTTCATCAACTTTGAGCCTAGGTAGCTTGATTTTCGAATTGGATTTCGGCTGGTTTTGGGATCACGATTCTAGCCACTTTCAGTCACTTTTTGGTGTAGGCCCAATAACAAAAGCGACTCCAAATAGGGTGTTACACCTAGGGTACGAATCTTGAGCCGTGATTTTGAGTCTTTCCGGTGACGTGTTATCGCTTGGGACACCCACATGCTGTCGGCGCGTGGGTACCATAGAAAGGGGCAATGTATCCTGATGTGATCTCATGGTCCTGACGAGCGAGAAGGTACTTTCGGATTTCAATTTGGTTGACGTTTGGACCCTAAATGGATTTCATCTATTGTGCGTTATCCGGGTTCGATAGGTTTGAACCGTTGGATCGTCTTGAATTTAATATATGTTGATATGGATATCCTTAGGATCGTGTAGGAATTCCCGGATCGTGAATCGGAGCCCCGGATGTTCCAATTCAAAAACTTTAAGTTGTGTTTTACAATGATTGTCCGATTGTGCAATCGTGAGCAATCCGACCGTCCGATTCGGACCAGACTTGCAAGACGTGTATCCTAAACCTTGTGGAACCCATAGGAACTTTCGGATTGTAAAACGGAGGTCATGGGACCCGAGGGCCTGTTTGACCAAGTTTAGGTAGTTTGACCCTTGGTTGACAGTGAGTCTTCCAAGGTAGTTTCACCTTTCGAGGAGTATTAAAACGACCCTATTGACAAGTCTTGACCGTTATTTGGGTTATGGGATTACGTGGGAGTATGAGATTAATTTATTCTTTTAAACTGGGGGATTATCAAATGCTATATTGTTGTTAGAAGTTTATGCAATATTGGAAATTGGATTATATGGTTATTAAGAAGTGAGTGGACATTTATTTTAAATATGCATTAAATTTCAATGATTGAAAGAATATGCATGAAATTGAGATATATAAATATATATATATATTTGGATTGAAGAGTGAGAAATTAATAAGTTGCGGTGTTAGTAGTATTAAATTGAGAATTTGATTTTGATTGGAGATTTGAACGCTTGAATAATTTGTTGGTGAGTTTCATAAAAGGTCAAGATATTTGTGATTAAGTCTTGGATAAATTTTGGGGGAAATTGGGAATTGAATATTATGATTTATTGTGGGAAGTTATATGATTACACTATGTTAAGTACCATCCCCCAGTTACTGGACTTCCCATACGTGGCGTTGGATTTTCCGGCGTATGGGAAGAATATGTGATTATATGGTCTCACACCGCACCTGTTATGGCTCTTACGGATAATTCGGGAAATTTTGTGATCTACAGTGATGCATCTTTACAAGGCTTGGGATGTGTTCTAATGCAACATGATCGGGTGATTGCTTATGCCTCGATGCAACTCAAGAAGCATGAGCAGAATTATCCTGTCCATGATTTAGAACTTGTATGGTGAGACGTGTCAGATTTTCACAGATCACAAGAGTCTCAAGTACTTTTTCACACAGAAGGAGTTGAATATGAGACAGTGACGTTGGCTGGAATTGATTAAGGATTATGACTGTACGATTGAGTATCATCCAGGACGAGCTAATGTGGTTGTTGATGCACTGAGTAGGAAGACTACTGGGAACTTAGCTCATCTCAGAACGACCTATCTTCCGTTATTGGTGGAACTGCGGAAGGATGGAGTAGAGTTGGGAATGACTCAACGGGGTGGAATCCTTGCTTGCTTGCATGTGAGACCCATTCTGGTGGAGCGGGTAATTGCAACCCAGTTAGGAGATCCGACACTTTGTGGGATAAAGGAGAAGTGGAAAATGGTACACGAACAGATTATGCCATAAGAAAGGATGAGGCTTTGGTAACAGGAACTCATCTTTGTGTGCCCAGGAATAATGATGAATTGAAAAGAGAAATCATGGAAGAAGCTCACTATTCCACTTACTCTATGCATCCAAGAAGTACTAAAATGTGTCGGACACTACAGGAATATTACTCATGGCCGCATATGAAGGGAGACATTGCCAAGTATGTAAGCAGATGCTTGATTTGTCAGCAAGTGAAAGCGGAGCGATAGAAACCATCGGGACTTATGCAACCACTTCCAATTCCTGAATGGAAGTGGGAACATATTACCATGGATTTTGTTTTTAAACTTCCACGTACTTCCAAAGGGCATGATGGAATTTGGGTGATAGTTGATAGACTCACTAAATCTGCTCATTTCCTACCTATCAAGGAGACCTATTCTTTGTCAAAGTTGGCAAAACTTTTTGTGGATGAGATAGTGAGATTGCATGGAGCACCTGCATCCATTGCATCGGACAAGGATGCTAGGTTCACCTCTCAATTTTGGAGATGTTTACAGAGGCTATGGGTACTAAGTTGCAGTTCAGTACCGCTTTTCACCCACAGACTGACGGGCAATCAGAAAGAACCATCCAGACTCTGGAGGACATGTTGAGGTCCTGTGTGTTGCAGCTGAAGGATGCATGGGATGCTCATCTTGCCTTGATAGAATTTGCTTATAACAACAGTTATCATTTTAGTATTGAGATGGCTCCATATGAGGCGTTGTATAAGAGGCAGTGTAGGACTCCTATTTGTTGGAATGAAGTAGGTGATAAGAAATTGGAAAAAGTGGATAGTATCCGAGCAACAACCGAGAAGGTGAAGATGATAAAAGAGAAGTTGAAAACCGCACAAGACCGACATAAGAGTTATGCAGATAATAGGTCCAAGGATCTTGAGTTTGCAGTTAGGGATTTGGGAAACGCGGGAAGTTAAGCCCTCGTTACATTGGACCTTATGAGATCACAGAGCGCATTGGACCTATTGCCTATAGACTTGCATTACCCCCAGAACTATCTTGGGTCCATGACGTGGTTCATGTATCCATGCTACAGAAGTACATGCCAGATCATTCTCATGTTTTAGAATATCAACCTGTGGAGTTAGAAGAAGATTTGTCATATAAGGAGCAACCTGTGCAGATCTTGGATAGGAAAGACAAATGTTGCGCTCCAGATCCATTCCGGTAGTGAAAGTTTTGTGGAGAAGGCAAACTATTAAAGAAGCTACATGGGAACCCAACGCGCAGATGTGGGCCAAGTACCCCTTATTCTCTTCCATTGATAGGTACGTGAATTTCGAGGATGAAATTTTTATAAGGGGGGTAGATTGTAACACCCCGACTCCAAATTTAATTCCTATTTTAATTTATTTAAGTGAAATTACGAATTTACAATCGGGGTATGGGTATTTTGGTCATTTTATTATCCGGAAGGCTTTTGGGACAATGAGTGGGCTTTTGGGACAATGAGTGGTGTGGTTACGTAGGTCATATCGAGATGAGTCCGTAGACACGCGGTAGGCTTGAATCGGAGTTGTAACGAAGAAGTTACGATCAAAAGTAACTCAGTGACGCTACCGTAAATATTTCGAAAGAGTTGGAGTAAAAATCTGATTTTTCACTTTCTATCTCTCTCTCTTCTCATGCGTGCATCTTCTCCTCTCTCTCTCCTCTATTTCTCTCTCCCCGACCCTATCTCTCTGTTGATTCAATTCCTAACAACTAAAATGAGTTATTAAGAACAACAACTTTAATTCTCGCAAGTGTACGAACCGTTTATAGTATAGCTAATGTAAATACGAGGTCGATCCCACGGAGAATGGTAACTTGGTTCCAAGTTAAATTATTTAGAATGCTATAAAAACATAGAACAAGGAAACTGACTAACTAGCTAAAAGCAAGGTCGAATTCAACAATGCCTCTTGCTAATTACTCAAGGTCTAGGACAGAATCCTAGCACCACACACGCACTCGAAATTGGGGGTTTTGTTGTTGAAATGAAAAGAAAGTGAAATGAAAGTGCTCGAAAGTAAACACTGGACAAATTGTGAAATAATAATTGAGATGTGTTAGAGCCTTGGAATCCATCACTAGTTTTCCTAAGCCCTAACTAAATGGATTAGTTAGACATAACTATGAATACAGAAAATAAGAAATACATAGATAGGATAAAGAGAGGAGAAGAACTAGATGATGGTAGCAAGGAATTCCCAGGACAGCTCCAAGCTCTCTTCTCTCTTTGTGGTGAATATGAATTTGTGTATGAGAGTAATGGGTGAAGTGAAAATGTGTATCTGACTCTCTCTCTCTTTGAATGAGTGTGCAGCCCTCTATTTATAGAGTGCAATTTCGTCCTCCCCTTTGGCTGGTGAAGCACACCTCTCTTAGCTGCTCCCAACAACTCCAGCAGCCCATACTTGCCACCTGCTCCAGATGCCCATACTTGCCACCTGCTCCAGATGCCCATACTTGCCACCTGCTCCAGCTGCCAAATGCTTTGGTATGGTTTTTTAATGGAAACTTGATCCTTCCCATGTGTGGCTGCCCATACTTAGCACATGGCTCTAGGGATGTAGACACATTTAAATGTGATGGCAGCCAACATGACATTTCTGTGAACTTAGTTAAGTCTTTGACGTGTTGAGGGCTCCAGATTTATCCAATTGGGCTGAAATTTGGATATGTGATAATAGACACCCATTGGAACAACTTCTATCAAGGATGTCTCCTCATCCGACCTGTGTAAGTTACTGAAATGAGGACTGCAAGATGACCCACGAAACTGGACTGACAAGGAGTGTGGCCCAAATTGGGTTTATCTTTAAGCTCATATTCCTCTTATCCTAATCAGCCCTTAACAAGCATGGATTGCATCAAATGTGATCTCTTGCTGTCTTAACCTACAAAACAAACAAAAAGAGGTAAGTTACTCAAAATAAAGAGAAACTAAGCAAAGTCACTAAGTAAAGAAGTCATGTGAATGTATTAAATTATGAACTTATCACTTTCTCTCTTTCTCTCTTAGAATCTCACAGCACAGGCCACAGCACCGGTACCAACCTGACCCGCCCAGCCCTGCTGACACGTTCCAGCCATTTCCCGCCGTCAACCGCCGCGTTTCTTGCCAAAAAACGTGAAAAACGAGCCGATTTTCACAGAATCTTTCCATCGTTCGTTCTCTCTCCTCCAGCCACCGATTCCGACAAGTAAGGTGTGGTTTCTCATCTATTTTCTGAGTTCTAGCAGGCTGTTGCATAGGATTGGGTCAATTTTGAGCCTAGGATACCGATTTTGGAACCTAGGTTTTGGCCGGATTTCAAAGTGAAATTTCGGCCGGTTGCTGTCCAAACTAGACCTTCCTGTAGTTGAATGAAGTGATCCTTGCCTCGAGAAGTATCTAGGGTAGGAAGGGTGAGCTGTGGTGTGGAGTTTTTCCATCGTCGGAAATTACTCTACACACCCACGCGTTGCCGGCGCGTGTGGCGACACATGGATAGGGTGGTGAGGTGACATTACTATCTTGTTGTAATTCTTGTGTTGTCACGAGTGCGTAGGTGTGCTCGGATTCCAATTTGGATGTTGTTTGACTATCGAACGGATTTCGCATATTGTGCGTTATCCGGGTTTGATAGGTTCTGACCGTTAGATCATGTCCAAATTAAAATAGTTGATCTCGGTACTCCAGAATCGTGTAGGATTTCACGGATCGTGAATCGGAGCCCCGGATGTTCCGATTCAATAATTCAAAGTTTGTGGGTTAGCGATAACTGTCCAATTGTGAGCGATCCGACCATCCTTTTCGGATCACACCTGTAAGACGTAATTCTTAACTTGTAGCTGGACCTTAGGATATCTAGTTCTACGTACACGCACCAGGAATTTGGGGATTGAAGTATTTAATTTGTGATTTCCGTTTTGAAGTGGTGTTATATTAATTAAGGGTTCGTACCTCGAAATAGGTGCTCCGGTTGACCATACACAGCAGGCGGGACCTTCTTAGGGTCGAGCAGCTTGGATTACTTGTGAGTGGACATTGTTTTCAATCATAAGCATGGTTTTTATTGATGCAAGATTTATGCATATGTTTTAAATGGTATTTGGGATATAATATATATTCGGTGGTTGAATTTGATGTCCTTATAAGCTATGGCAATATATTTTTGGGTTTGGATATATTCGAGTATCGAGAATATGTTGGTATGGATTTTGGGAAATTTTATCTATATTGTCTATATGTGTGGTACTTGGGTTGTTGAGATGAGATTGTGGAACAATTTGAGTATGTTGGGTTGTTGAGAGAAGTTGTATGATTACACTATACAAGTACCACCCCCTTGTTACTAGGCTTCCCACACGTGGCGTTGGTAGTTCCGACGTGTGGGAAGAACATGTGATTATTAGTCTTACACGTGGCGTTGGTAGTTCTGGCGTGTGGGACACTTCCCATACGTGATGTTGGTAGTTCCGGAGTGTGAGACACTTCCCATACGTGGTGTTGGTAGTTCCGACGTATGGGAAGAGTATGTATATTGCTTGGAATCATCACACGTGGCGTTGGTATTTCCAGCGTGTGAGCTATGGAGTTTCGTCCCTCGGTTGGACAGCTCATCCCTAGACGCAAGATAGCACCTGGAAATCTTGCGGGCTAGCCAAACAATCCCCCAGTTGGATTGTTTCCTCGGTACCTAGGTAGTGCGAGAAGTATATGATATATTTATATATTTGTATTTATATATATATAGGTGTGAGTGTAAAGCAATTAGAGTATATGTAGTGGGTTAGTGATAGCAATATAATTTTGGGAATGAAGATTGTGGTTTGAGTGATTTTGGTTTTAAAGGGTTTCTGAGAATAATGTTTTTGAGCATTTGATTATGAATTGTGAACCTACATGTCTTGAGCATTATTTTTACACGGTCGGGTTATTATGTTGTTTTAAATGTAAACCTTGTTTTTGTCCACTCACATGTTTTCTATTTTGCGCCCCCCAGACAGTAGTCGCTCAAGGAGAGTTGCAAGCTATGTACGAGGCTCGAATTGGGAACTTCAGTAGTTAGGCTTTGAGAAAATTCTTTCTACTCAACTGGTTATTGTAAATTAAATCTGTTAGATGCTCTGTTACTGCCCATGTTAGGTTTTACTTGAGGCCAGAGGCCATTTTAGTTTGTATTGTTGTATGTTGAAAGCATGCTGTTGGTTGGGATCATTATTATGTATATTATGCAGGTTCAATATTGTTGAGTTTGTGCCTTTTTCAGGGGAGACTGCCAAAATTTTGGTAGAATGTCTCGGTTTTTAGTAAGTGGGCCCGACATCGGGGTGATGTCGGTAACAAGACAGGATCCGTCCCGGGTTTCGAGGAATTTCAGAGGCGGGTCCTATCACGTGGCGTTGGATTTTCCGGCGTATGGGAAGAATATGTGATTATAAGGTCTCACACGTGGCGTTGGACTTTCTGGTGTGTGAGACACTTCCCATATGTGTCGTTGGATTTTCCGGCGTATGGGAAGAATATGTGATTATAAGGTCTCACACGTGGCGTTGGACTTTCCGACATGTGAGACAGTTCTCATATGTGGCGTTGGATTTTCTGGCGTATAGGAAGAATATGTGATTATAAAGTCTCACACCTGGCGTTGGACTTTCCGGCGTGTGAGATACTTCCCATACGTGGCGTTGGATTTTTTGGCGTATGGGAAGGATATGTGATTATATGGTCTCACACGTGACGTTGGACTTTCCGGCGTGTGAGACACTTCCTATACGTGGCGTTGGATTTTCAGGCGTATAGGAAGAATATGTGATTATATGGTCTCACACGTGGCGTTGGACTTTCCGGCGTGTGAGGCACTTCCCATACGTGGCGTTGGATTTTCCGGCATATGGGAAGAATATGTGATTATAAGGTCTCACACGTGGCATTGGAATATTCCGGCGTGTGAGACACTTCCCATACGTGGCATTGGATTTTTCGGCATATGGGAAGAATATCTGACTATTAGCTCCTCACACGTGGCGTTGGATTATCCGGCGTGTGATAAAAGATCCGTATACTTGGGTATCGTTATTTTACTACGCGTGGCATTGGATCTTCTAGTGTGTAGTAAAATAACAGGGAGATGAATAAAGGTTTGTTATACTATATTGGGAAAGTTATTTGTATGAAAAAGATTATGTTTGGTAGGTTATGATTTAAAGAAAAGGGAAAGGGATAAATTCTAGAATCTACTATTTTGTATTACTGTAATTGATTGTATGTTATTGGAACCGGGATTTTTGTGGAAAGAAATACGTGTGGCTTGATCCCTCAGTAAGGGTATGTAGGTAGCCTGGGGTCCCACCCGGATGCAGCCACGAACCAAAGTTATTTTGATCTTTGGATGAGTTTGGTGTCGACCCATGTCGGTGGTTTTAAGGCTCGATCGAAAACGAGGCTTGATTGAATAAATATTTATTATTCCGTTGGACTAAGTGAATGTTGTTAATTTGTGGTTGTGGTCAAGTTAGGTTTGAAACTCGTTTTGGATTGTTGTACAACTTGGCCCGAGTTTTTAATCTACTTTCGATTGGTGTTGGTTTGTTAAATATCGCATGATGGACTTTGGGAATTAGTTTGGTGTTAATTATGGTGGGTACGTATCAGTAAATTAGTTTGAGTTCATTAAATGCATGGTTTATTTTCATTAGTTTGACTTAAGAGCTTGGTATGTGGCTTTGCTTCTGATTATTTGAAGGACGCAGGCCGATTATGTGAATTGCATGAAACTATCTTGGGCATGCTGATGGTTGGGGATATTAAATATGTTTTAACAGGTTGAAAAGTTTTGGGAAGTGTCCATTTTTAGGGGAGACTATGCCGAAATTTCGGCAAAAAGTCTTGTGCCATCTTTCCTAAATTTTGGAAAAAATGATATAGTTTCAGAAGTGGGCCTGGCATCGGGGTGATGTCGAGAATTCCACAGGACTCGTCTCGGATTCCGAGGAATTCGGGGCGGGTCCTGTCACTAAGCAAGTTACCTAATATAACTTAAAATATGATTTATTGTATTTCGGATTCCAAAACTACCCTTGTTTATAAGTTAATGTGTTATGGGGGGTGTAACTAATGACACCTGTTGAATTTGGAAAGATCTTCAAATAGTTGTAATGGATGTAGGAACTAATTTAGAAACTTATTTGAAATTAAATATTAAATTCCACATTAAAGTATCAGTAATCTATTTTTGAATTAATGGTGTTCTCCTTTTATGAATTACGACTAGTAATCTATTTAAAGTATTAGTAATTTAAATCCAATATTAAATTTAGGAATTAATGTTGTTGTCTTTTATGAATTATATGACCAGTATTCCTTTTTATTATAGTTTTATGAATAATAGTGTACATTCTAATTATGTTGAAAAATAATTTCATAATCTATTTATTGTTTTGTTTTTAAAACATTTGTTTTAATGAACCTATTTTTTCTCCAAATATTGTACCTATTTTTTTTTCTTTATTACTTGTTTTATGAAAAATAATTTGATCATTTTTTTATTGTTTGTTTTATGAAAACAAATTTTTTTTTAAATGAGCCAATTTTTTCTCTCAAAATAATGTACCTATTTTTTTTTCTCTAATAATGTACCTAGTTTTTTTGTTCTAAAAAATGTACCTATTTTTTCTCTCAAAATAATGTACCTATTTTTTTTTCTCTAATAATGTACCTAGTTTTTTTTTCTAAAAAATGTACCTATTTTTTCTCTAATAATGTACCTAGTAAAACAATTTACCTAGTATAATGAACCTATTTTTTTCTCTAAATAATGTACCTATATATTTTTTTCCAATAATGTATACCTAGTAAAACAATTTACCTAGTATAATGAACTTATTTTTTTCTTCTAAATAATGTACTTATTTTTAATTTATAAAAAATGTGCATAAATTTCAATTATACAACGTACCTATTTTCTATAAATTATTGTGTACCTATTTGTTAATTTGTTTGGGTAAATAATATACCTATATTTTTATACATATATATTTATATTTATATTTTTCATATGTACATTATTGGATATGTAATTTACATATATATATATATTTTTTTTTGCAATTTTAAGGGGCCATATGTTAGAGGGAATGGCAACCAAAATAAATAGGGTGAATATTAATAGGGAGTTTTAATTACAATTATGGCAGTTAATGAAAAGCTTGGAATAAATTATAAATAAAATATGAAGTTTGATGGCAATGATGTAAAAACATAGGAATACTACGACTTCTTATATCCTACTGGTCATTTAAGTTTGAAATTGGGTTTAACACATAGATTTATAGAATAATGGATATACTAGGAAATAGAAATTGTACGGACCTATATTGGACAAGCCCAAAAAACTATTTGACTCCGAGTAATATATAAAAAGTTGTATTTTAAAGGGGAAAAATTTGAGTTTAGTTTGCCTAATCCATTCAAATTTCAGTAACTTAGGGAACATTTTCTTAGTAACAATGTTTGTTAGCACAACCCCTCCATACAATTAAGTTCATTTAATTTTCTTTTGCAAACTAGTAGGTACGTAGTTTATCAAATAAACGTATCTTAAGTTCCATGTTTTTCCCAAAATTTGCATTGTTTATGTTGAAGCCTTCATCAATATTTCCGTTGAAATTTAGGTGTTTTTGAGCCAATTTTATCAATATTTCCGTTCAATTTTTTGTTTGAAAACAAAGAAACTAGCTCTTGTTTTTTCAAATATGAAAAATAAAATTGAAATACTTCTGAGGTAACTAGTATGCGAGCAATCTTCTGATCAAATGCTGAAAGAGAAACAGATGTTAGCAAAATGAATGGAGTAAAGAACCTGCAAGTCCCTCCGGTGGTCGTCTGAGATGCTAGAGTCGACTAGGCCTTCAAGGCTTGTCATCGAATTACTGAAAACAAAGAAGTTAAAGGAAGAGACTTTAGTTCTGCTAAAAGGCCCAAAAAAAAACACTTGGTTCTGCTGGCGATCTAGAAGAAGGTGCTGGTACTTTTGGCAACAATCCGATAGGAAGGGAGAAGGGTGCTAGTCACAGACCTTCGGCAAAAGAGCTGGGCCTTTGTGAGCCTTAAGACGAGATGAGATTGTCCTCTTTCCTTCCGCCACTTTAGCTCACAGCTTTGGTTTACAAAAGAGTTTCGGCAAGCTCATTTGGAAAGAGGGCTAGACATTCGCGAGGACCTCCATAGCTTCTGCACAACCCTTGCCGTTTGGCAAGGGTGTCTTGGAAAAATATATATATATATATATATATTTGGGGGCCTCCTTGTTCTTCAGCACGACGCTGCCAAACGGCAGGTGTGACATCACACGTTTGGTGTGGTCGTGCAGGGTGGGTTGCCGATCGTTGGAGATGGTCCTCGAGGAGGTGACACAAACCTTCCGATCGGCAAGGGCGTTGCAGATCGATTTGGGTGTTCGCAGAGGTGACGTCAAGCTTCCCATTCGGCAGGGGCGTTGCCGATCAATTTCGGAAGGTCTGGTGCCTTTGAGGCTGCCATCGACTTGGGGGCTCTCCTTCTCGTTCTGTCGTCGGCTTGCCAATTGGTACGGGTCCGATCAGTTGTTTGGGTTTTAGGTTGTCCTTCACGTTCCGTGGCGGCCTTACCGATTGACAATCGGTTTGGTGGGCTTGGGTGTCTTGAGAGATGTTGGCAAAGAGAAGTTTTGTCATTTAAGAGTCCCCCTGTCATCAGCTTGCTGTTCAGGAGGTATGGAGATGGTTTTGGGATGTCCCATATTTTCGGTTGACGGCCTACCGAATGGCAGCTATGACGTCACGCTTGCCGATTGGTAGGCACCCCTCCATGATGTCTTGGCGGGTGGTGCCGATTCTGTCCGTACCGACCGGTAGGCACCCCTTCATGGTGGCTTGATGAGTGGGGGCCAATCGGTACCTGTATTTTCCTTTGGTGAGTAGCGGTGACCTTTACTTGGTGCTGTTAGCGGGCCTTTTTGCTTGCAGTCAATGAATAGTGCTGATTGGTACGTCAGGTGCAACCCTTTTTTTTTTTTGAAGGTGGGTGTGTTGAGTAATTTATTGCCATGGGTGCTGAACGGTAGCCTGTCCATCCGATCCATATGATGATGTGGAAGTGGAAGGAAATCCACTTTTATCCATGTAGTATGTGAGAAACCATTTCATAACTTTGGCCTCTCTTGCTGGTCATGTTTTTTTTGTCTTTCGCTTAATGATGGCTTTGGTATGAGCGATGCCGAATAGTAAGTGGTTATGAGTTGTGAGTGACGGATGGCTTCAGTATGGGTATTCTATTGAATTGTTGAACAGCAATTGACAGGTGTTGAACAACACCTAAGCCATAAACTCATGGAAATGGACCATGTGGGTTGGCCTTTGGATTGGCATGTGGGCTTCAGCATGGGTACTCCATGCAAGCCATGCAAAAGGAAGAAGATATTTTTGGTGAATTGGAGTATTGGGCAACTGCCAAATTGGAACTTTTCAAAGTAACCGACTCTGGACAGCTCCTATTATTTGTTGACGCAGAAAAATGGTTCGGCACTTTCCCGCGCAACTTAGTGATTAAGTCTCTTCGGTATCTGAGGTCCTCAGTAGGGTGTGCGATCTGTAAGATAGCAAATGCACGGTAAGTCCTAGGGCACCGGTGTGGTACCGGCCGAAGGCTCTCCGATGCTTAAGTAAGTACGGATTTAGTAAGTTTGAACTACAGATCAATAGGCAGTATGCCGTAAGTTCTGATTGATTACCTTCAAGTTGGGATGGATGTCCTCTTTTATAGGCCTTGGGAGGTGTGCAATTTGTTTAGAGTTTCGATGTGGGACTCTGGGCGTCAATTGTGAGGTTGCCACGCGTCAAAGGGGGCGAGGTTGCCCTAATGTTGCGATCGGTCGGTTTGATACCGAAGGTGGGTGCCGAAGGCACACCTGGCCCTGGTTTAGCCCACGTGTTTGATATTCATTGGCTGTTCATTTTGGTATAAACAGGAGTCCCCCAAGTCCCCTTGCGAGAGTCCTCGGAAGGGGATTTGAAATTGTCTTCGGGAGGAATCACGGCCTTATCGTTCGGTAACCCAACCTGGGGAAGGGGCCAAACTTTGTTCCTTCCGGCATCATCAGTTCAGAGGCTGACGTTGGCGAAGTCAGAAGGTCGCGTCGAGCCGACGGGTGAAGGGACGTCTGAGCGCTTCGACTTCCGCGCCTCGCGTGTCGTCTGTTCCCCACAGGATGAGCGACACGTGGCGAAAGTAATGATGGCGCGCGGCGCATTAATGCGCCGTTTGGTTTTTCGAGGAGTACCGTTGCCAAACACCCTCCCTATAAATAGGGATGACCCCGGAGGCGAATTCACTTTGCATTTAGTGAGAAGTGAGAGCTCTGTTTAAGGCGATTTTCGACGAGTGTTAATGGTAACCAGACGATTTCCGGCGAGTGTTCAGAGCAGCTCGTGCTTATCTTCCAGAGTACACATTAAGGTACCGTTCGGCACTTTTCTCTTTAATCTGCTGCATGCTTTAAAAGTTACGTCCTTCCTTGGTTCGAACTAGACTGACCATAGGGTTCCATTCGGTAGTCTAGTCGCCATAGGTAGCGATGTAGGGATCGGTAGGATAGCATCCGGCATGAGCCTTAGTTTCCTTTTTTCCTGTTTTTGTAGATGTCTGATAGCGAGTCATTCTCTGAGCGCGAGCCCAATGCGTTCGATGAGGAGTTATCGGACGGTCTCTTTGACTCCGACGGCGAAGAGGCAGGGCCTGATGCCGAGGGTGGGAGTGATATTGACGTCGAGATACTCGGCGAAGGGCCCAGCTCCATTCCAACACACGGAGTCGGAAAGGGGCTAATGACCGCTCCCGTCCCGTTGTCAATCGTTTATAGTGACGGCCGCCACGTGGGCCTCGGTATGCCTGGGGAGGCGAGCGGTAGCCGTCAGTCAGAGACCTCCACCTCCGGCCGTGGAGAGTCGGCAGCTAAACCACCATCTGGGCCCAGGGTATCGGTAGTGTACCCAAGCAACCTAGGATGCCCATGGGGGTGCCGAAGGAAAACTTATTCGGCGTCGACTATCTTGGGCCGAACAAGATTACCGATCGGGAGATTGCCAAATTTCGAGCAGAATACCGCATTCCCGACTCGGTACGGATGAGGATCCCGGGCCCTACCTAATCTCTTAGTTCGCCGAAGGACAGCGAGGTAGTCTTCTTTACCGACGTCCTTGTGCAAGGCGTTCGGTTGCCGTTGCAGCCGGCGGTACAGAGGATCCTAGCCTAGATCGGCTACGCCCCGGGGCAATTTAACCCCAACTTCTGGGTGGCCCTCATGGGAATGATAACGGCCTTCGGCATGGCTGGCGAAGGGAGCCCCTCCTATGAGCAGTTCTCCCATCTCTACAGCATTACCAAGTCCAAGTGTGCCGATCACGGCGGATGGGTGCAGGCGAACTGTCTCAGGGCTGCCGATCGTGGCCACTTTGTCAGCTGGGTACCGACTTCGCAGAAGTCGTGGAGTAATCGGCGGGTGCTCCTCTCGTGCGACTGGGAGTCGCCCTCGGGATAGCCTGTTCGATTTCGCATTCCCACAACCTTCCAAATAGCCGGTAGGACCACATGTTGTTCGGTACCTTCTCTGGGTTCCTCGTTTACCGTAAGTGATCCTTCCTGTCTGTTCTTCTTGTAGGTAAGTTGAAGCAGCCGATCGCAACGCAGGCCGAGATCCAGCAAGTGGAGAGAGTGAGGAGGAAAGTCCCTGCCGAGAAAAGGGTGTATCCGCAGTTCCTCTTCACCACCAATCTGATTCAGGCCCAGTTGGTCGATCCTGCCGAGAGTAAGTATACTTTGTAATTTACAGATTGTTTCTTTTCTTCTTTTGCGGGTCTTACCGAACCCTCTTTTCGCAGTGACGGAAGAGAGGAGAGCTGCCGAGGCTAAGAGGATGAATGAGTCCTCCAAGCGCCGCCTCATGATGGGCTTCCAGGGGAAGAAGAAGAAAAACCAACCGCAAGGCTCGGCATCGGTAGACCCGGAGGACCAGACTCTGGCTGACCGTCTCCGTCAACTCAACGCCGATTCGGCACAGGCCGGGGCGGCAACGGTCAGCCCCTCTCCTCGCCGAGGGGCCACTACCGAAGGGACTTCCTCCCGAGCTGCCGGCAAACGACCCTTTACCGTCGACCTAGATGAGGAGCCTGCCGATCCCGTCACCCTGGCCTGTCCGCCGAAAACGGTCCAGTTTGTGAACCATATGATCCTTGGTTCGCAAATGGAGCTGAATGAGATCGAGGAGCTGCCGAAGAAGCTCCTTCGAGAGGAGGCAGGTCGCGCCTTCCGTCTTCAAGCATCGGTAAGTCCCGAGTATTCCAGGTTCAGCTTGCCAATTGTTTTTTTTATATACTTTGGCTGACGTGCCCTTTGTTCTGCAGGCCTCGATGGACATGTGGCTTTGCATGAAGCGAGCCATCAACGCTGTCGAGAAGGCGAAGAAGGCCTATGAGGACGGTAGGGCCAGGGTTGCCGAGGCAGGCAAAGCTATCCAGGATCATGCGAACCTGGCGAAGGATTTGCAGGCTACCAAACGGCAGGTCAGGGTTTATGAGTTCAAGTTCGCAGATCTGTCGTCAGCCCTGGAGTCGGCACAGCTATCGGCGAAAGAGGCTTTGGAGGCGAAGGAAGCCATTGAGGTGGCTCTGGAGGAGTCGGAGCGGGCCAAAGTGTCGAAGGTTGAGGCTGCCGTCTAGGAGGCCATTCAGAAGTATCGCTACTCTCCCGATTTCTCTACCTTGCTTGACAAGGAGGTGAGCTCGGAGATGGTGGATCTCATCTACCGATTCAAGCGGTACAATCCTGGGACAAAGCTCAACTTGAACTTCGTTGCCGATCCTCCTCCCCTTCCCGAAGGCGTTACAGAAGAAATGATTGAGGAGTACGAGGGGGAAGACGCTCCGGGGGAGCCTGAAGCCACTGGTGCCGAAGGGGCGGATGCCGAGGAGGCGACCTGAAGGCCCTTCATCCTGATCACCTGCCTTTATTTTATGTAATTTTGATGCCGAGGGCATTTTTGTAATTTCGTTGCAACTCTAATGCCGTTGGCATCTTTTGTTTGGATAATTGATGTCGTGGGCATGTTTTTATTAAAGTTGTGTTTTGATTTTAATTTAATTGCATCTTACTTCTGAAATTTTTCTGTTTAGGAAATTTTTCTGTTTAATGCCGAAGGCTCTCAAACAAAAGTCATTGGCCGTTGGCCAGTAAAGTTTCCTTTCACGCAAAAAGTTCAAGTGTTAGGGAATTGAAACCAATAGGCGTGCTTGCCGATGGCAAAGCAGCGGCCGGTAATTACCGAAAGCCTATAAAGGTCGATAAAGCCTACAAAGTTGTCCCTTAATCGGTAGGATAATGGCGATGCCAAAATGTGTAGTTTACTGCGACCGATGGTCCCTACCGTATCTTTTTTTTGAACAAAAAATGGAGAGTTTGAAAGGTACAACAAAGGTTCTGAATATATGAGCCGAAGGCCCTTTCATTGATAAACTGCCGAAGGCAAAAGTACAATTTGGAGTGCGTTTTACAATTTAGAACCCGCCGTTGGCTAGGAAACGCTACAATGCCGAAGGCTGTGCTTGTAGAGATGCCGAAGGCTTTTGGGACTCCTCCGTGACCCTGCCGTAGGCCAGGTGACTTCATTTGAAATAGTACTTCAAATGCTCTACATTCCAAGGATGACCGAGGGTCTTTCCGTTGGAGTCTCTGAGTCGATAAGTCCCCGATCGCTGGATACCGATGATTTCGTAGGGTCCCTCCCAGGAAGGTCCGAGGGTTCCTTCCGTGGGATTCTTGGTTGCCAAAGAGACTTTCCGCATGACCCAATCTCCGATTCGGAAAGAGCGGGATCTGACCCTGGAGTCATAGTACCGAGAGACGCGTTGCTTGTAAGCTTCGTTCCGAAGGTTGGCTTGTGCTCGGCGTTCTTCGAGCTGGTCGAGGCTCAAAGCAAGCGCTTCCTCATTCGCCTTCGGTGCGAAGGTTTCCGTTCGGTAGGAAGGCTCTCCGATTTCTACTGGGACTACTGCCTCTGAACCGAAAGCCATAGAGAATGGTGTTTCCCCAGTTGCCGTTCGGTAGGATGTTTGGATGGCCTATAGTGCCTCTGGAAGCTTTTCCGGCCAGGCTCCTTTAGCTCTGTCAAGCTGCCGTTTCAACAGCTCCTTGACAATTTTATTCATGGCTTCGACCTGTCCGTTCGATTGGGGTGTGCTGGATTCCCCAAAGAACATATTGAAATTGAGTCGGGTACAGAATTCCCTAAAGACTTCCGAATCAAACTGCCTGCCGTTATCCGTGACGATGGCGTAGGGGATGCCGAACCGGCAGCAAATATTCGTCCAGACGAAATCTTCGACTCTGGCTGCCGTTATTGTCGCTAGGGCTTTGGCTTCTACCCATTTGGTGAAGTAGTCTACGGCAACAACAGCGTATTTGACCTGTCCCTTGCCCTCTGGCATCGGACCAATTAGATCTAGTCCCCGCTGGGCGAACGGCCACGGGCTCACGATCGGTGACAGCGGCTCGGCAGGAATATGAGGGACACTACCGAGCCGCTGGCATTTGTCACACCTCCTGACTAATATGTTCGCATCCTGGTGAAGAGTCGGCCAGAAATAACCCTGTCGGAAGACCTTGTGTGCGAGTGATCGGGATCCAGAGTGGTCACCGCAGATTCCACTGTGGACCTCCCGAAGGATGTAGTCCCCTTGCTCTTTGGTCAGGCATTTTAAATACGGCGTCGTGTAGCCCCGCTTGTACAGAACATCGTTGATGACTGTGTATCTTGCCAATCAGTAACGAAGTTTCCGAGCTTGGGACTTATCGGTAGGAAGGGTTCCGGTTGTCAGGTAGGCATAGATTGGAGAAATCCATGTGTCTTCGTACCGAACGGTGCATACCTCAGCGTCGGTTGTACTCGGTTGGGATAATATCTCCACCGGTACCTTCCTTCCGATCTTGTCATTTATTGCCGAGGCCAATCGGGAGAGCGCATCGGCATGGCTGTTTTCCGACCTGGGGATCTGCCGTATCTCGTAGGCCTGGAATTTTTTGTAGTAGTAGCTGATCTGCCTCGCGCTCATGCTCTGGGCTAGCCGAAGGCTAGCCAGGAGGGCCTTATATTCTACCTCGTTATTGGAGGTCCGGAAGTCGAATCGGAGGGCATACTTGATTTTGCTACCATTCGGAGTGGTTAACACTAAGCCGGCACCACAGCCTTGCTGGTTTGCCGAGCCGTCCACGTGCAGGATCCAGAGAGGAACAGAAGTGTCGAAACGTTCGGTATCCATTGTCTCTGGTGCGGTAGGGACGGCGCTCGGCGATGATGGTTCCGATAGGGCAGGAGGTGTGAGCTCGGAGATGAAGTCGGCAACGGCTTGGACTGTATGTCAAACTCCCCCAACTCGATTGCCCATTTGACCAATCGGCCAGATGTTTCTGGCTTTTGGAGTACCTGCCGAAGAGGCTGGTTTGTCAGAACTGTGATTTCGTGAGCCTGGAAGTAAGGGCGAAGTTTCGCGCCGAGACGACCAGGGCCAGTGCTAGCTGCTCCAAGGGTGGGTACCGAAGTTCTGCTTTCTGGAGCGCCTTGCTGACATAAAAGATCGGTAGCTCCGCCTTCTCCGGCTTCCGTATCAAGACTGAGCTAACGGCAGTGTTGGATACCGAAAGGTACAGGAGTAGTACCTCGCCTGGGAGCGGTTTTGATAACAGTGGTGCCTGGCTCATGTAGTTCTTCAAGTTTTGAAATGCCTGGTCGCATTCGGGAGTCCATGCGATATGATGTTTGCCCCCTTTCAAAGCTTTGAAGAACGGCACGCATTTGTCGGTAGCCTTGGAGATGAAGCGTGTCAGGGCAGCGACACGTTCGGTAAGGCTCTGAATGTCCTTCTGCGTCTTCGGCGTCTCCATGTCGATTGTGGCTTTGATTTTCTCGGGATTGGCCTCGATTCCCCTTTGACTGATCATGAACCCGAGAAATTTACCGGAAGATACACCGAAGGCGCACTTCGCCGGGTTCAGTCTCATTCGGTAGTCCTTTAGAATACCGAACATGAAGGCCAGGTTTTCCAGGTGCTCCCCTGCCGTTCGGCTTTTTAACAACATATCATCGACATACACCTCCATGATGCCGCCGATGTATTTGGCAAAAATCCGGTTTACAAGCCGCTGGTAAGTTGCCCCCGCGTTCTTCAGGCCGAAAGGCATGACATTGTAACAGTACAAACAGCGATCCGTGATGAATGCCGTATGTTCTCTATCGGCAGGGTCCATGAAGATCTGGTTGTATCCTGAATACGCGTCCATGAAGCAGAGCAGCTCATGCCCGGCGGTGGCATCGACGAGCTGGTCGATCCTCGGTAAGGGGAAACTGTCCTTCGGACAAGCCATATTCAGGTCGGTATAGTCCTGACACATCCGCCATCCTCCCCTGGCTTTCCGAACCATGACTGAGTTGGCAAGCCAAACAGGGTACGTAGCTTCCCTAATAAAGCCGATGGCTTTGAGCTTGTCAACCTCGGCACGCATTGCCTCGTACCATTCGGCATCGTACGATCGGCGCTTTTGCCTGACCGGTTTGTGGGCGGTGGAGATGCTGAGCTTGTGGCTGATGACATCAGGTGATATGCCAGGCATATCGTCATAAGACCAGGCATATCCAGATTGGTGCCGATCTTTACCCACCGATCGGGGAACTCCTCGTTCAGGATTACGGTCTCGAGCTCCTCAGCGGGCTGCGCCATCGGCGTTGGGTTTTCCTCCCTGGGGTCGTCAATAAGTTCGCTACTGTTCGGTAGTCCCTGCAAGGTCATGGCCTCCATGGGCGGTTTGCTAGCTACCGACTTAAGGGCCGTGGCATAGCACGTCCGTGCGCTGAGCTGATCACCCCGGATGACTCCGGTACCGTTGCGTGTCGGGAACTTCATCAGCAACATGTGGGGAGATAGGTGGGCTTTGACCCTGGTGAGTGCCGTTCGCCCTACGATGACGTTGTATGCCGTTGGGCAGTCAACAATGAGGAATTGATCGTAGGTCATGGTTTTCCTCGGGGCGACGCCGAAGGCGATGGGCAGACTAATGCTACCGACTGGTTGGACCAGATCTCCAGAAAAACTAAGGAGAGGCGTGATTTGCCGATTGACCATGCTGTCGGCAATTCCCAGTCCCTTGAATGCATCGGCAAAAATCACGTTCACCCAGCTTCCGGTGTCAATCAGCACCCGACCCACATCGTAATCGGCGATCTCGGCCCGAATGATCATTGGGTCGTCGTGGGGGTAGATGATCCCCTCCTCCTCTTCTTCACAAAATGTGATGGGCTCCCATCCCACCTTCGGCAACTTTCGGCAACGTTCGGTGCTGGGGCCTGTGGTGGCCTGGCGAGGTACTGATCCAACTTTCCTTCCCGAATCAGATGCTCGACAATTTTCCTCAGACTGATGCAGTCTTCGGTATTGTGGCTGTTCTACTGGTGATATCGGCAGAATTTGCCAGTGTCCCGATTATCCTGCCGATTGGGCTTTCGGTTGGTTGGCTTCGGGATCTGGTCATGTTCGTTCATTAGAACGGTTTCGTACGTCGTGTTCAGCAGGGTGAAGACTTCCTGAGCACGATCGTGATTCGGTAGGGGCGCCCGGTGGTCGTTACGACCGTACTTCCCACGTCCTTTCTTTGAGTTTCCCTGACGGCTATCACGGTCGTCCTTCCGTTTGTGTCCTGCCGACGAGTTGTCGGTTCGGCCTGGATAACTTTTGGTGGCCGACTCCTCCTTCCGAGCCGAAGGCCCGGTTTTGGAATTGAAGTATTCGGCCTTCGCATGGATTGCCGCCTGCTTCATTAACTCGTCATACGTGCGCCAGTTGCTACTGTGCACGAGGTACCGGAAGTGAAAGGACCGTAGGCCACTCTTGAAGGCGCCGTAGGCTGCCCTATCGTCCGTTTCGGGACACCTCGAGTACTCGTGACTGAAGCGCGCTGCGTATTCCCGTAAGGGTTCGTCCTCCCTCTGCCGAATCGTGTACAGATCGTCGGCAGAGTACAAACGGTCCGTCTGGATCATGAAGTGGTTGAGGAAAATTTGCTTCAGCTCGTCAAAGGAGTCTACCGTCCCTGGTTCGAGACGGTAGAACCAGTTCAGCGCAGCTCCGGTAAGGGACGATGGAAACAGCAGACATTGCCCCTCGTCGCCGAGGCCCTTACACCCAACTGCCGATTGGAAAGAGTGAAGGTGCGTCAAAGGGTCCTCCACACCGGTATAGAAGGGTATGCGCAACGGCTGCACCTCCCTGTCCGGTCTGGACTTCTTGATGCGCTCGGTAAATGGTCCCGGCCGAAGTTTTCCCCAGTCAGGGACCTGGGACCGGGTTTGGTCCTCCTCCATCTTCTGGACTCTTTGGAAAAGTAGTCGGATGGCGGGGTCTCGGCTTGGGACGCCCTCGGAACCGAAGTCTTCAGAAGTTTTCCTCGGACTTGGTGATCTCGCCTTCGAGTACTCCGGGGGAGCTTCCGAACGGTAGCTTGATTCGGTGCCCCTGGTGGGGATGTACTCATCATCGGACTCCAGCGCCGAATCCAAACCCTGAGCCCTCCAAAGGGGCGATTTATCCCCCAGGACCCTCATCCGGGAGTCCCTCAAGCGGGTGTTTACTCCGATTGGGGACTTATGCCGTTCGGCATCCTTTTTGTCGTTGATCCGATGACGACAATCGGTGTACACCTTCTTCGGTACGTGAGGTTGGTCCTGGGGTGCCGGGACCACCAGCTGTTTGGAGGGCGCAGGCGTTGCCTTTGCCCCCTGCTTTCCCTTCCTCTGCCGACCGGGGGTCTGCTGACTCTGGGAAGATTCGGTGATCTGAACGTTTTGTGTTTCCTGCTGATTAAGCAACCGTTGGGTTTCGTCTACTTTGGACGAAAGGAGATTATTACGTTCTTGGAGTTTAGCCATCTCCCTTCAAAGGGAGGTCATCTGAGCTAGAAGCTCCGCTTCGACCGTGGTCTGAAGCGCAGGAGGATTACCGAATGGGGTGCTAGGGTGCAGCGCGGGGCTTGCTCCACTTGGCATACCGTACGGTAATCCATCCTCCGATAGGAACTGTGGTCCTAAGTGGTTCCCATTTGTTTTGTTTAGGAATTGTAGGTTGATTTTATCGTTTCCCACAGACGGCGCCAAACTGTTGACGCATAAAAATGGTTCAGCACTTTCCCGCGCAACTTAGTGATTAAGTCTCTTCGGTATCTGAGGTCCTCGGTAAGTCCTAGGGCACCGGTGTGGCACCGGCTGAAGGGACACGTGGGACACGTGGCAATCCCACCCCCAGGGACACGTGGCAATCCCACAATTGACATCCACAGTCCCACATCAAAACCCTAAACAAATTGCACACCTTCCAAGGCCTATAAAAGAGGACAACTATCCCAGCTTGGAGGTAATCAATCAGAACTTACGGCATACTGCCTATTGATCTGTAGTTCAAACTTACTAAATCCGTACTTACTTAAGCATCGGAGACCCTTCGGCCGGTACCACACCGGTGCCCTAGGTCTTACCGAGCGTTTGCTATTTTCCAGATCGAATGCTCTACCGAGGCCCAGAGCATACCGAAGGCCCAATATCTCTAAGTTGCGCGGGAAAGTGCCGAACCATTTTTCTGCGTCAACAGTTTGGCGCCGTCTGTGGGAAACAATAATAATCAACCTACAATTCCTAAAAAACACATGGGAACCACTTCAGGACCATCGTTCTTACCCGAGGACGGACTGCCGTACGGCATGCCAAGCGGGGCACGCCCCGCGCTGCACCCTAGCACTCCCTTCGGTAATCCTCCGGTAATTCAGACTACGATGGAAGCGGAGCTCTTGGCTCAAATGATTTCCCTTCGGAAGGAAATGGCCAAGCTCCAAGAACATAACAACCTCCTCACATCCAAAGTAGACGAAACTCAACGGCTGCTTAATCAGCAGGAAACGTAGAACATTCAATCTACAGAACCTTCCCAAAGTCTGCAGACCCCCGGTCAGCAGAAGAAAGGGAAGAAGGGGGCAAAGGCAACGCCTGCGCCTTCCAAACAGCTAGTAGTCCCAGCCCCTCGGGACCAGCCCCATATACCAAAGAAAGTCTACGCCGACTGTGGTCATCGGCTCAACAACATGGATGCCGAACGGCAGAGGTCCCCAGCCAGGATCAACGCACACTTACGGGACTCACGAATGAGGGTCCTTGGAGACAAATCGCCCCTCCGAAAGGTCCAGGGTTTGGGGTCAGAGGCAGAGTCTGACGACGAGTATGCCCCCTCCAAGGGCACCGAGTCACACTACCGTTCGGAAACTCCCACGGAGTTTTCGAAGGCAAGAGGACCGAGTCCGAGGAGAACCTCCGAAGACTATATTTCTGAGGAGATCCCAAGCCGAGACCCTGAAATCCGTCTGCTCTTCCAGAGAACCCAGGAGCCTAATTGGGGAAAGCTTCGGCCAGGACCCTTTACGGAGCGCATCAAGAAGTCCAGACCGGACAGGGAAGTACAGCCGTTGCGAATACCATTTTACACCGGCGTGGAAGACCTCTTAACGCACCTTCACTCCTTCCAATCGGCAGTAGGATGCAAGGGCCTCGGCGATGAGGGACAATGCCTACTATTCCCATCCTCCCTTACCGGAGCTGCTCTGAACTGGTTCTACCGTCTTGAACCAAGAACGGTAGACTCGTTCGACGAGCTAAAGCAGATTTTTTGAATCATTTCATGATCCAGACGGACCGTCTGTACTCTGCCGACGACCTGTACACGGTTCGGCAGAGAGAAGACGAACCCCTATGGGAATATGCCGCGCGCTTCAATCATGAGTACTCGAGGTGTCCGGAGACGGACGATAGGGCAGCCTACGGCGCCTTCAAGAGTGGCCTTCGGCCCTCTCACTTTCGGTACCTAGTACACAGTAGCAACTGGCGCACTTATGATGAGCTGATGAAGCAGGCGGCGGTCCACACCAAGGCCGAATAGTTCAACTCCAAGCCCGGGCCTTTAGCTCGGCAGGAGGAATCGGCAACGAAGAGCTATCCCGAGCGGACTGACGAATCTTCGACAGGCCACAAGCGGAAGGATGACCGTGACCATCAGCAGGGTAACTCAAAGAAGGGGCGTGGGAAATACGGTCGCAACGACCACCGAGCGCCTTTGCCGAATCACGACCGCGCTCAGGAAGTCTTCACCCTGTTGAACACGACATATGAAGCCGTCTTGATGAATGAGCATGACCAAATCCCGAAGCCAAACCACCAAAAGCACAATAGGCAGGATAATCGGTATACCGGCAAATTTTGTCGATTCCACCAGCAAAACAGCCACAACACCGAAGACTGCATTAGTCTGAGGAAGATCGTTGAACGGCTGATTCAGGAGGGAAAGCTGGACCAATACATCGCCAGGCCGCAGCAGGCGCCCGCCCCAAACGCCAATCGGCAGATCAACATGATTAGCATTATCAGCGGAGGCCCCACTCTGGCGGAAACCTCTAACCGGTCAATAAAACAATATGTGCGTGCCACTCACTACCCCCAATTCTTCGGCATTGAAGACGATCGGTGCCGCAAGGTCCCGAAGGTGAGATGGGAGCCCATCACATTTTGCGAAGAGGAGGAAGAGGGGATCATTTACCCCCACAATGACCCAATGATCATTCAGGCCGAGATCGCCGACTACGATGTAGGTCGGGTGCTGATTGACATCGGGAGTTCGGTGAATGTGATTTTTGCCGATGCATTTAAAGGATTGGGGATTGCCAACAGTATGGTCAATCGGCAAATAACGCCTCTCCTTAGTTTTTCTGGGGATCTGGTCCAACCAGTTGGCAGTGTCAGTCTACGACCAATTCCTCATCGTCCCTAAGAAAACGATGACCTACGACCAATTTCTCATCGTCGACTGCCCGACGGAATACAACGTCATCATAGGGCGAACAACACTAACCAGAGTCAAAGCCCACTTGTCCCCCCACATGTTGCTGATGAAATTCCCTACCCGCAACGGTACTGGCATTATTCGGGGTGACCAGCTCAGCGCACGGACGTGCTATGCCACTGCTCTCAAATCGGTAGCTTGCAAGCCGCCAATGGAAGCCATGTTTGTGCAAGGACTACCGAACAGTAGTGGGCCCATAGATGACCCAAGAGAGGAAACGCCAATGCTGGTGGCGCAGCCTGCAGAAGAGCTCGAAACGGTGATCCTAAACGAGGATTTTCCCGATCGGTGGGTAAAAATTGGCACCAACCTAGGTCCCGACCTAAGGAGGCAGTTCATCGACTTCTTGCGGCGACCGGCAGAGGTCTTCGCTTGGTCTTACGATGATATGCCCGACATATCACCAGACGTCATCAGCCACAAGCTCAGCATCTCCCCCGCCCATAAGCCGGTCAGACAAAAACGCCGTTCGTATGATGCCGAACGGTACGAGGCTATGAGTACCGAAGTTGCCAACTCAGTCATGGTTCAAAAGACCAAGGGAGGATGGCAAATGTGTCAGGACTATACCGACCTGAACAAGGCCTGTTCGAAGGACAGCTTCCCATTGCCAAGGATCGACTAGCTCGTTGACGCAACCGCTAGACAAGAGCTGCTCAGCTTCATGGACGCATATTCAGGGTACAACCAGATCTTCATGGACCCTGCCGATAGCGAGCATACGGCATTCATCACCGACCGCGGGTTGTATTGTTACAATGTCATGCCTTTCGGCCTAAAGAATTCGGGGGCAACATATCAGCAGCTCGTCAACCGGATTTTTGCTAAGCACATCGGCGGCATTATGGAAGTATATGTCGACAACATGTTGGTGAAAAGCCGAAGGGCATGGGGGCATCTGGAAAACCTAGCCCTCATGTTCGGTATACTAAAGGACTACCGAATGAGGCTGAACCCCACGAAGTGCACCTTCGGTGTATCTTCGGGTAAATTTCTCGGATTCATGATCAGCCAAAGAGGAATCGAGGCCAATCCCGAGAAAATCAAAGCCATAATCGACATGAAAACCCCGAAGACGCAGAAGGACATTCAAAGCCTTACCGGACGTGTCGCTACCGATAAGTGTGTGCCGTTCTTCAAAGCCTTGAAAGGGGGCAAACATCATATCGCATGGACTCCCGAATGAGACTAGGCATTTCAAGAATTGAAGAACTACATGAGCAGGGCACCATTGTTGTCAAAACCGCTTCCCGGAGAAGTTCTCCTCCTCTACCTTTCGATATCAAGCACTGTCATTAGCTCGGTATTGATACGAATGCCAGAAAAGGCAGAGCTACCAATTTTTTATGTCAGCAAGGCTCTTCAAAGCGCAGAACTTCGGTACCCCCCCTTGGAGCAGCTGGCACTTGCCCTTGTTGTCTCGGCGCGAAGACTCCGCCCATACTTCCAAGCACACGAGATCACAGTACTGACCAATCAGCCCCTTCAGCAGGTACTTCAAAAGCCAGAAACGCCCGGCAGATTGGTCAAATGGGCGATCGAGCTCAGAGAATTTGACATACAGTTCAAGTCAAGGCCTGCAGAGAAGGGTCAAGCCGTCGTCGACTTCATTTCCGAGCTCACACCCGCACCGTCGGAAGCACCCTGTCCGAACGCTGTTATTACAGAACCTAATAAAATAGATGCCGATCGCTTTGATCCTTCGGTACCTCTATGGATCCTGCATGTTGACGGCTCGGCAAATCAACAAGACTGTGGAGCTGGCTTGGTGTTAACTACTCTAGACGGATGCCCTCCAATTCAACTTTCGAACCTCTAACAACGAGGCAGAGTATGAGGCTCTCTTGGCCGGCCCTCGGCTAGCCAAGAGCATGAGCGCAAAACAAATAACGGTAGACTTCGCAGCAAAGGATGCCTCCATGTCCGACTACCTATCGGCAGCCCACCAACTCCTACAAAAGTTCCAGGCCTACGAGATTCGGCAGATTCCCAGGTCAGAGAACAGCCACGCTGATGCACTCTCACGTTTGGCTTCGGAAATCAACGACAAGATCGGAAGGAAGGTGCCGGTGGAGATATTATCCCAGCCAAGCACGAAAACGGCGGAGGTGTGTAGTGCCCAGACACATGGATGTCTCCAATTTACGCATTCCTCACGAACGGAACCCTGGCCGCCAATAAGTCCCAAGCTCGGAAGCTCCGTTACCGATCGGCAAGATACACAGTCATCGACGATGTTCTGTACAAGCGAGGCTACACCACGCCATATCTTAAGTGCCTCACTAAGGAGCAGGGGGACTACGTTCATCGCGAGGTTCACAATGGGGTCTACGGTGACCACTCACGTTCCAGATCGCTAGCGCACAAAATCTTCCAACAGGGGTATTTCTGGCCGACCCTACACCAAGATGCAAACGTCTTCGTCAAGAAGTGCGACAAATGCCAATGGTTCGGTAGTGTCCCTCACATCCCTGCCGAGCCTCTCTCACCGATCGTAAGCCCATGGCCTTTTGCCCAGTGGGGACTGGATTTGATTGGCCCGATGCCGCAAGGTAAGGGCCAGGTCAAATATGTTGTTGTCGCCGTAGATTACTTCACCAAATGGGTAGAGGCCGAACCCTTGGCTACGATAACGGCAGCCAAAATGGAAGATTTCATCTCGACGAACATTTGTTGCCGATTCGGAATCCCTACGCAATCATCACCGATAACGGGAGGCAATTCGATTTGGACGACTTTAGGCAATTCTGCACTCGCCTCAAGATCAATCTATACTTCGCTTCGCCAGCTCACCCCTAATCGAACGGTCAGGTCGAAGCGATGAACAAAATTGTCAAGAAGCTATTGAAACGACAGCTTGACAAAGCCAAAAGAGCCTGGCCGGAGAAGCTTCCAGAAGCGTTATGGGCTATCCAGACATCCTACCGAACGGCAACCAGAGAAACACCGTTCTCCATGGTTTTTGGTTCGGAAGCGGTAGTCCCAGTGGAAGTCGGAGAGCCCTCCTACCGAACGGAAGCTTTCACACCATAGGCGAATGAGGAGGCGCTCGCCTTGAGCCTCGACCTGATCGAAGAACGCAGAGCACAAGCCAACCTTCGGAATGAAGCTTACAAGCAGCGCGTCTCTCGGTACTATGACTCCAGGGTCAGATCCCGCTCGTTCCGAGTCGAAGATTGGGTCATGCGAAAAGTCTCCATGGCAACTAAGGATTCCAAGGAAGGAACCCTCGGACCTTCCTGGGAAGGACCTTACGAGATCATCGGCATCCAGCGATCGGGGACTTACCGTCTCAGAGACTCCAATGGAAAGACCCTCGGTCATCCTTGGAACGTAGAGCATTTGAAATACTACTTCAAATGAAGTCACCTGGCTTACAGCAGGAAGAAAACATTGTTAAAGCCTTCGGCCTATTCTTACTCACAGCCTACGGCAGTGTAGAGTTCCCTAGCCTACGGCAGGTTTTCAATTGTAAAACAAACTCCAAATGTATCTTTGCCCTCGGCAATTATTAATGAAAAGGCATTCGGCACTCATATTAACAACCTTCGGTGTTTTCATTTTTAAGATACAGTAGAGACCATCGGTCGTGGTATATTACATTTTTAAACCCTTTTATTTAGCCTTCGGCAATTAAGGTACCGCGGTAATCTTTCCTACCGACAAAAGTATAACTTGTTTTTTATTAAGCTTGTTCACTTTAGAGTTACTGTTACTAGCCCTCGGCAGTAAAATTTTAAGCCCTAAGTTGCTTACCGATCCAAGGATCACTTGAAATTTGAACTTATACTAGCCTACGGCAGTTAAGTCAATCATCCTGCCTTCGGCAGTTACAATGATTAAGTTTCAAACTCGAAGGTTAGCTTGTACTAGCCTACGGCAGTTAAGTCAATCATACCGAAAGTAAAGCTACTTGACACTCAACTATGAAAATTAAAGCTGCTTAAATTAAAAGATGCCCTTGGCATCAAGGTGTTCAGAATACATTGCCTTATGACAAGATTACATTTAATAAAAAACTTAAACAAGGCTCAAGCGGCAGTCTCCTCCTCGGCATTAGGGGCAACGGGCTCTTCCGGGGCGTCCTCTACTTCGTACTCTTCTATCATCTCCTGGAGCTCAACCAGCTTTAGTTGACAATGAGAAGAAGCTTTTGGAGAAGATTATCATTGTAGAGCGTACGAAACTTTTTGTCAGGCAGTGGCCTCCTCGGCCTCGGCAGCGGCCCCATCGCCTTCGGCAACATCCTCTTCGGCATCGGTAGGAGCCTCTTCTGGGGCATCCTCCCCCTCGTAGTCCTCGATCATTTCTTCAGTTATGCCTTCAGGAAGAGGGGGAGGATCAGCAATGAAGTTGAGGTTGATACCCCCGTATTGCCTCCTGGACGGCAGCCTCGATCTCCGAAGCCCTGGCCCACTCCGACTCCTCAAAGGCCACCTGGATCGCCTCCTTCCACTCCAGAGCCTCCTTTGCCGCTAGCTGCGCCGACTCCAGGGTTGCTCACATTTCACTGAGCTTGGCTTGATAAACTTTAACCTGTCGTTCGGCAGCCTGCATGTCCTTCGCCAAGTTCGCCTGAGCTTGGATAGCCTTGCCGGCCTCGGCAACCCTAGCCCTGCCGTCTTCATAAGCCTTTTTCGCCTTTCCGGAGGCATTAATGGCTCACTTGACACACAGCCACATGTCTATTGAAGCCTGAAGAGTAAGGGAAAATGTCAGACAAATGATGGAAACAAACGGTAGAAAAGCTGAGAATGGTTAAGCACTTACCGAAGCTTGAAGACGGAAGGCGCGGCCAACCTCCTCCTGAAGGAGCTTCTTCGGCAGGTCCTCGATCTCGGAAAGCTCCATTTGTGAACCAAGAATCATGTGGTTCACAAACTGGACCGTTTTCGATGGACAAGCCAGAGTGACAGCTTCGGCAGGCGCCTCGTCGTCCTCGGCAGCAAAGATGGCCCTAGCAGGCTCGGCCTGTCGCCCGTGCTTTGGAGCGGGATTGGCCTCCAGATCGACCGTGAATGGCCTTTTGCCGGCAGCTTTGGAGGAGGTACCCTCAGTAGGCATACCTCGACTGGGAGAAGAACCGACAGAAGCCGCTTCGGCATGCGCTAATTCAGCGTTCATCTGACGACGACGCTCATTGAGGGTTAGGTCCTCGGGGTCAACTCCTCCCGAAGACGCTGGTGCTGTTTCCGGCTGCCGCCCTTTTTTCTTCTTCCCCTGCATGCCGAGCATCAGGCGTCGCTTGGAGGACTCGTTCATCCTCTTCGCCTCGGCAGTTCTCCTCTCTTCGGTCACTACAAAGCAAAGATCGGTCAGATTTCACATTGTGGCTTTAAACTGTGTCAAAGTGAACAAGTACACTTACTCTCGGCAGGGTTGACGAGTTGAGCTTTGATAAGATTGGTGGTGAAGAGGAACTTCGGGTAAATTCTCTCCACGGTAGGGACCTTCAGCCTCACCCTCTCGATCTACCGGATCTCCGCTTGTGTAGCGCTCGGCTGCTTCAATTTGCCTGCACAAAAAGGAAACGAAATTAAATTTTCTGAAGGGTGATACAATCTAGGAGGCCTACCGAACGGTACGATGGCCTACCGGCAATTTGGAAGGTAGTGGGGATGTGGAAACGGACGGGATGTCCCGAGGGCGACTCCCAGTCACCGGACAGAAGCACCCGCTGTTTCCTCCACGTCTTCTGGGAGGTTGGCACGGCACTGACAAAATGGCCGCGCTCGGTAGCCTTCAGGCAGTTAGCCTGAACCCAACCCCCGTGGTCGGCAGACTTCAACTTCGTAACACTGTACAGATGGGAGAATTGTTCGTACGAAGGCTCTCCCTCGCCAGCCATGAAGGCTGTGACCACACCCATTAGCGCTACCCAGAAGTTGGGGTTGAACTAGCCGGGAGCATAGCCTATCTGCGCAAGGATCCTCTGGACGGCGGGCTGCAGAGGAAGCCTCACCCCTTGGAGAAGTACGTCCGTGAAAAAGACGACTTCGCCATCCTTCAGCTTGCTTAGAAATTCGGTAGGCTTTGGGATCCTCATCCCTACCGAATCTGGTATGAAATACTCGGCACGGAATTTCGCAATCTCCTTCTCGGTAATCCTATTGGGCTCCAAATAATCTACCCCGAAAACAAGCTCCTTCGGAACTCCCATCGGCACCTGAGGATTGCTGGGATAGACTACCGAAACCCTCGGTCGAGGAGATGGTTCGGCAGCTGACTCTCCACTGCCGGAAGTGGAGGCCTCTGACTGGCGACTAGCTCTCGCCTCCCAGGCTGGGCTTGACTAACGTGCGGCCGTCGCTATAGACAATAGCCAACGGTACCGGTGCAGTCATTAGCCCCTTTCCGATGCCGTGTGTAGGAACGGAGCTGGGCCCTTCACCGAGTATCTCAACATCGGTATCACTTCCGTCCTCGGCATCGGGGCCTGCCGCTTCACCATCGGAGTCAAAGAGACCATCCGATGACTCCTCATCGAACACATTGGGCTCACGCTCGGAGAATGACTCGCTATCAGACATCTACAAAAACAGGGAAAAAGGAAACTAAGGCTCATGCTGGATGCTATCCTACCGATCCCTACATCACTACCTATGGCAACTAGACTACCGAATGGAACCTTATGGTCAGTCTAGTTCAAACCAAGGAATGACGTAACTCTTAAGATAAATAGGAGGGTAAATTGAGGGTGTCGAACGATACCTTAAATCAAACTCTAGAAGAGAATCGCGAACTGTGCTTCAGATCGTCTCTACGAAAATCGCTTTTCTTGACCCTCTATAGGGCGAGGGTTCGCAACGGTACACCTCGAAAAACCAAACGGCGCATTAATGCGCCGCGCTCCATGATTACTCTCGCCACGTGTCGCTCATCCTATGGGGGACTGACGGCACGCGAGGCACGGAAGACGAAGTGCCCAGATGTCCCTTCACCCGTCCACTCGACGCGACCTTCTGACTTCCCCGACGTCAGCCTCTGAATGAACAAGAACGAAATAGCCAAAATTGAGCCCTTCCACCAACTGGTTTACTGAACGGTAGGACAACATTTCCTTCCGAAGACAACTTCAAATCCCCATTCCGAGAACTCTCGCAAGAGGACTTGGGGGACTCCTGTTTATACCAAAATGAACAGCCAATGAACATCGGACACGTGGACCAAACTAGAGCTATGGGAGCCTTCGGCACCTAGCTTCGGTATCATTCTTACCGATCGAACGATTAGGGCAACCTCACCCCCAGGGACACGTGGCAGTCCCACAATTGACGTCCACAGTCCCACATAGAAACTCTAAACAAATTGCACACCTCCCAAGGCCTATAAAAGAGGACAACTATCCCAGCTTGGAGGTAATCAATCAGAACTTATGGCATACTGCCTATTGATCTGTAGTTCAAACTTACTAAATCCGTACTTACTTAAGCATCGGAGAGCCTTCGGCCGGTACCACACCGGTGCCCTAGATCTTACCGAGCATTTGCTATTTTCCAGATCGAATGCCCTACCGAGGCCCAGAGCATACCGAAGGCCCAGAGCATACTGAAGGCCCAATATCTCTAAGTTGCGCGGGAAAGTGCCGAACCATTTTTCTGCGTCAACAGAACGTATGTTAATTGTGTCATTTGGACCAGCATGATTTTGCATTCTTCCATTTTCCTGTTGATGTGCTATGCTGAGCAAACCAAAGTGACGGCACAAAAGGACACCCCTATGAAAATCGATAGAGTATAAGATACAAAGAACCCCCCTCAACTTTGACCAGTGTGTCAATTTAGTTCTTGAAATTTAGAGTACAAAGCAAATACCAAATCAACCTACTCCTCGAGAAAAACATACCATGAAACACAAGCGACTTAAACCTTCAGGCAAATGGATATGTCGAAACATATATAGCAATTTATAGAAAAATACATTAATCCAGAAGAAAGATTATGAAATGAAAAGTATAGAAAGTAGAAAAAGAGAAAGGAAAGGAATTCGCACCTGCTAAGCTATGTATGAAAGGACCAAGTTTGTTTTGCCTTTGGATAATGACTAGAAAAGCTCACTTGCAGATTGCTAAGCTATGTATGAAAGGACATAAATTCTCTCTGAATAATAGCATAATGATCGGGTAATTGATTTAAAATTCAGGTCAACTCATAGATTCGTTGCCCTTTTCTTTTCTTCTTCCTCACGTTGGGCTTGTCTTCTTCTTGAGGATTGTATAGGCCCAAGAAATGCTTTGAGGTAGTTTTTACGTTTGGGCCTTGGAAGTTGGGACCCAACTTCACAAGAAGAAAACAGATTCGCCAAAAAACAAATTTGAAGGACAAACGTACTCCAAGATGTAGGACAAACAGCTAAAGCAACTGTTTTTATTATTATTAGTTATCTTTGTCTAGGTGGCATAGTAAACCCCTCATTTACCATTGTTACCTACCTACATAGCAAGCAATGATGTTCTGGGGTGAATTCACAAGAATGTTGTGTAATTCTCTAAGCTTCTTGCATCGGCTTTGTTGGAAGACAAGCAGATTTTGAGGAAATTACGCTAAAACTCTAAATTGTCCATTGTGTATAATGTAATTAATTTATACGTCTTCACAATTTTTCATTATAGAATGGTAGTGAAAGACTGCGTCTAGTATTGGATAAGTTTGAGATGGCAGTGGCTTGGTGTGTTGAGGAATTGCATGGGCGTCGGCTGAGTTTGAACAAGTTGGGTGTGCTGAGTGTTTCCATGGGTGTTTTGCTGATCATAGTTATTAGATATGTGATAGTTTATTAGTTTGGATTAAATTGGTTAGTCTGATCCAACGGTTAAGAGATAGGACCTCACCAAAGAGCTATATATAAGGCCCTCATAAATGGGCTAAATTTTGATGTTATATCTTTTCTTCCACAATAATCATATCTGTCATAATAAATTAACTAGCTACTATGAAAGTAGTATTTCTTTGCTTCATCACTTCACAATACTGTCTTTTTATTGATCGAATCACAATACAATACTTGGTACATATCACCTTACAAGCACACAGAAAAGTTTAACTAACAGACAAGGAGTCATACTGTTCCACATAAAATACACACTTGATCTCTTCTTTTTTTTTTCCTTTTTTTTTTTTCACTACGTTGGTGATGGAAAAAGGACAAGCAGAATACAGAAAGAGATCCAGTTGCTGTTGCTGATGCTTAAGCAATAGATATAATGGAGCACACTGCTTGGATGAAAGTGAGTATGAGGAAAGAAACAGCTGCAACGAAAGAGATAATTGCCCAAGGTGTGTTGAAATAATTTTGTCTCAAATTTGCCTTCCATTTGTTCCAGGGAGCTCTGTAGTAGGTGTTCAGGGCTTCACAAACACTAGCAAAATAAAAGTTATTGACGTTTATTTGAACCCCTTTTCCAAGCTTATTAATCAAAGTAGAAACCTCACTGTTGTCGCCTAGAAAATTTTCAACGATACCATACTTAACAAGCAACTCCACATCCCTTGGGGTGTTCACAAAACAATCCATGAGACGTACATAATTACTTATGTCCTTCTCCACGTAGTGGCATTGTTCAAATGCGACGAGATTTCTAATTATTAGCTCTGTCTGATCGCTTATTTCCAATTTGGAATTTCAAGAGTCCCGTCAGCAAATCGAATATCAAATAACTTATCCGCTGATCCCACTTTCAACTTGACCCCTGCCCTGTGTAGCTCTGTGATGCTGGGTATGTTTATAGTTTTGAGTTTCCTTTCGGCATTTGGGTTCGATGGTAGACATGAATTTCTTATCAAATCAACAAAATGTGTCGCTTCAGGAAAACCTGTTCTCTGCAAAACGACGTTTTTTGTTCCTTCCCTATAGAATGTAGTACTGAACAGATAGTAAGAAAGACTACTTATTGAAGGCTTACTAGTAGAATCAAAATATCTATCTGCGACAAAAAGGTCCTCCAGAATGAAGAGTGGCAACTGATTTTCAAGCATCCGCAAGTCAACCAATACATCATCACACATCCATGGCCTACGAAATATGTAGTCATCCTCATGTCGAAAATTTTGGTCACTGCACTTCAACAAAAACTCAATAACGAAGACGGCATCCACTAGAATGATTTCTAGAAAGTCTTCACTGCTATACCCAATCGGTTCTGCATAACAACTTCTTAGTCTTGCTTCTTGGTCCCGTAGTTTCATCTTAAAAAACCCCAATGTTTTCGTGGTTCTACGTAGAAAACCTTGTCGATACCTCTTTTTGTGATATTCCATACCATTTAAGTGTCCCTTTCCATGGTGAAGTGGGCCTATAGAGACTACCTGAGGTGTGTAGGCTTCATCATCGTTTCCCTGCCGTAGTCGCTTAGGAACTCTGTAGATACACCGCAAAGTGGACAAGTCGAACCTATCTTCCTGCATCAAATCGTATGGTACTTTCCTCCTGATCATCATGCGCAGTGATTCAAATATTTCATTATGAACGTTGGAATTAGAAGCTTCAAAGCAAACTTTTGAAAAGGAAAAAAAAAAAACAAATGACATATCAGAGTAGATGGTTAGAAAATCTAGTCACTTAAAGTGACTGTCTATGGACACTCTCCCTTTGTAGCCCACCATGTGTCCTAAGTATTCTTGAGAAACATTGAAAAAAGGCACCACCTTGTTTACCACCTTTAGTGATACCAACTTACATGGCAGATGACATAGCATTACCACGTCATCATTTCTTAATTATTTAATCCCAAAAAAAAACATTTATAAAATTTATAAATAATAAATCTTATGTACCCTCCCTTCATCCTGAGATCTGCCATGGCCTATGTTCTTCCACAAATATGTCATGGTTTCCGTCTAATCGAAAAAAAAAAAAAAAAAAAATAACCAAAAATTTTCACACTTAACATATATACTTATCGTTTGTTTGCATCTATATAACCAGTGTAGATTTTATCAATGTTGTAAACAAAAAAAGTTGAGATATTTATAGGCCCTCCTTGAAACAAAAAGTACTAGGAAGCTATTGAAAGGGCTTGAATCTCAAAAGAGTTGTATTTCTTGTAGCGAAAGTTTGTTGCATTCGAAGCAGTGGTGAGTATAGAAAACGACATCTAATCTATATGTAAAGGACCAAGTTTCACGCTTAAAAACCCTAGAAATATTACGCTTAAAAAAATACTATAGATACCAGTTTTCCTATTTTAACCCTATACTTAACCCAACATTAAATGTATCTTCATATCCTTTACTCATTTATTCCAATAACCTTCTTAATTCCAATTTCTAACTTTCTAAAAAGAAGAAGAAAAAAAGTATGTAAACATCATATAAGAAAATGGATATGTGGAGATGGGTATATATATATAACACAGAAGAAAGATTGTGTATTGAAAACAAAGCAAAAAAGGAAGTGAACTCACACCTTCTATGTATTTGAAAACAACAAGCAAGTTGTGTTTTGCCTTTTGGTAGCTGATAGATGAAGTAATAAATTCTCTTAATATAATAATAGCACAATGATGCACTATATATAACAAGTTATGATTTCCACCCTTATTCTTCCATGACCATAAACATATGGTGCGTACAAGTCTATGGCAGAACTTCGACTTGGAATATTGGCTCTCCAAAGACCTGTAGAAGACAAGATCTTGACCTAAGATAAAGACCCAAATAGACCTTTCTTCTGTAGTTATGCACATTCTAAGGAAAGATCGATAACTACATTCATGCATGTAAGAAAGTTGATTTATTCTTTTTTATTTTATTGTATGGTCCATCTACCACTCATCTTTGCTCTTCTCAGTGTAAGCTTATTTTTAGTACGAGATTAGAGGGGAGGGGGATTTCTCAATGTAAAATAAATAGGGCAATAAACTAAAAATTCTGATTTATTTTTTGGGTCAAAAAAATTGAATTAAGTTTGAACAACCATAAATGTATTCACAACTAAGTAATATTTATGAAAATAATAAAATTCAGATAAGGCATACACAATAATATAGAATACCTATATTTTTAAGAATAAAATACCTATATTTTTAGGAATAAAACACCTATATTTTTAGGAATAAAATACCTATGTGTTTAAAAAACGAAATAATAAAACTACAACATAGGTTAAAAACATTCTAATAAACTCAATACATATGGTCTACCTACTATATAGGATGAAAAAATTACATGAACAATATACTTACACCATGGGAACACTCCTGTATATTTGAACACATAAACACGTGTTCAAGGTTATATATTTCATTACCTTCACAATGGGCATCAAAACCTACCATAGGAACATTCATATACGCACAACATACTTATACCATACCTATGGGAACACTCGTGTATATTTGAACACAAGAAGACATGTGCACGGTTCATATGAACTGAGTCATCAACTCACTATGGTACGTTTACTGACATGTAAAAATAGTCAATGGACTACATCGAAAAATAATTGGCTTACATCAAAAATTAAAATCACGTGGGTTATTCCTAAGAAACCTTAATCATTTTGAGTTTATATATTTTTTTCTTTTAAAAAAAAAGAAAAGGAAGTCTGACCATTTATGTATATTGTTGAAGGAAAATGTGAATCTCCCAACATAATTTCACCACCACTAATTAATTAATGGGGTTTTATTATTTTAGGTTCGACCCATTCGAGACGCAAGTATCTTAATTACAATCCCTTGCTACAAGGGAAAACCCTTTGATTCCATCATAAAGAAACAGAATGTGTGTGTTTGGTGTTGCGGTTGTTCCCAAGTCCAACCTCATGATGCCTACGTATCTCTCGTGGGAATCAAGCCACTCGTAGTTCAAAGATTCACAATGAATAGATGACTCATTGGAAATGGAGGAATTTGAATGAGTTTGATTGAGGAGTGTTTGAGTGAATTTAGCTGAATGAACCAGGGATTCGATATGGAAATGTGTTTGGGATGGTTGCATCTAGATTGAATCTCTAAATTGCCTACGTACCCTTTCAAAGGGATCAAACCAACGTAGTTCGGAATTCATTTGTGTAAAAGTTTGATTGATGGGAATTTGGTTGCGGTTGTGTCTATTGGGATGCTAGACTGCCTACGTACCCTTGATGGGATCAAACCAGCGTATTTCCAAAATAGTTCGGAAATTAATGGGTAAGTGTGGCCCACTAATTGAGAATTTGTATTTGAGATATTTGAATTTCATCTCATTGAAATTTGCATGGGTAGATGACCCATGGAAAAAGTTGGATGGTTATTTTTAGATCTAAGGTAAAAATGACAAACTTTTTACTCCATTTTTCATGAGGTTTATCTCAAGAATTAAACTGTTATATCCTCCATTTTAGATCTCATGCTTCCATTTAAAGAAAAGAATATCAACAACAAAAAAATAATAAAGTTACAACATTGATCAATTCAAATGTGCAACTACCGGATCATGAGCCTTTGCACTTAGAGACTACGCATTCAACTGTATTTCGCTAAATTTAGACCATTATAATAATCTAACCCCTTAGAATGTGACACATCACCAAGTTTTTTTTCCTTCACTTAACAGAAGAGTTAAGTTTTATTTGTGGTTAACTAAACTCTTGTTTAAGGCATGTTTTTTTTATTTTTTTTCTTTGTTCTATGTAAACTATAATGGGTTAGATATTATTTGTGGGTAACTAAAATCTTGTTTAACAACAATAGTTAACATTTGTTTAGAGAAGGAAAAAACTTGATGATGTTTCATGTTCTAAAGGGTTAGATTATTATAATGGCCTAGATTTAGCGAAATGCAGATAAATACGTAGTGTCTAAATGTAGAGGCTCGGGATCCCCAACTACCATTGAAACATAAGAAACTAAAATCTTGAAAAAAATGCTATCTCAATTGAAAAGACAAAAATTAAAAAACCAAAAAAGGAAGGGAATTCGCACCTGCTATGCAAAAAAGAGCAAGTCGGTTCAATGATTTTTTCTCTTCTTCTTTTGTGGTGGAAATGAAAAGCTCAATGATGGGCTATATATATAGGAAGAAGCTAAATGATTGAATTAATATCTTCTATCTACCCTCTTCCTCGCTATAAACACAAATGGGGCAGACAAGAATAAGACAAACAGCGGCACAGACCTAACATTCGTACTTCTTGTTTTTCTTTTTCTTTTTGGTTCTTTAGATCCAGTTGCACCTACCAAAGAAAGAAAACCACAGGCATGCAAATTGCAATGCAAGCTCTTTTCCCATGTTTTCCTCTGTTTTTCTCCTATTTTTCTCTATTTAAAATAAAAAAAGATATACGGAAGTGATTAAAACACACCTCTAAGCTTGTTTTGCGTTTGGTAGCTATATGTACCAACAAATTGCTTTAATAATGATAATTAAAAAAGTGTGATTCATTGAATATTTGCGGGGTTTTGTTCTAAGTCAACACATCAAATTCCTTTTACACCATCAAATTCAAAATGTTTTACTCAACAAATTGCTAAAAATTCACCGACCCTGCCAAAAATTTATTTTGTTCAGACCTAACGTTGTAGGCATTTATTTTATATCAACGAGTACGATGGTCCATATAAGTATTCTAATAATTCACTCCAGTTGCAGGCCCCAATAATTTAGAAGGGCCGATGGTCTTTAATTGATGAAAGCTTCTATCTACCGACCTTGCAATATGAGGTATGCAATGGTGATGGGGTTACATGACGTCAGAGTGTCGTAGGGAAAAAAAATAATAGTCAAGGTTTCTTATTAATGTTAATAAAGGCATAGCAAAAAATTTGTAGCTCCAATGGTTCACAATAGTTACCCATGCACTTGAGATTCTGTAATTGAATCCTCTTATAAAAATAAAATTCTAAAAAGACATTAGTATTGTATTCTATATTCTATAAAGTGTTGTACATGTTTTATATTGTTAACAACCCCTCCAAAGCTTCTTTTGCCTCTGATAGCTGACTGGAAAAGTTCAATGCAGATAGTTTGAGGTAGAACTCTCCTATTAATAGCCAATGATGAGCTATATGTAAGAACAAGTTGATTTAATCTTCCATTAAAAACAACAAATTGCTTTAATAATGATAATTAAAATAAGTATGATTCCTTTAGAAGTCCGATCAGTTTAGAGCTTCATTGCTTTTAACATTTGTGGAGATTCATTACTATACCTAATTTAGGGGCCCAAATTATATATATAAAAATACCTATATGAAATGGACTTTAAAAACACAGCCAAAACTCATTTACAACATAATTAAGAGGCTCCAAACTTCCTATAAATTACATAATTGCCATCGATTTCTTAAACAAACCCTACCTCAAAACCTATAACATAAGTTTAAAACATTCTAATAAACTCAATATATATGGTCTGCCTATATATAGGATGAAAAAAATTACATAAACAACATATATAACTATATGTTTCTTTTAAGAATAAAAAAATACCTATATGTTTGAGAAACAAAATAATA